GCTTCTTAGCAACAATCATATTAGTGGGATGTGACAATAAAAAGAGGGGCAAATATGTCTTACATATCCTCCCTCTGAAGGAGATATTTGTACTTAACAAGGCTTAGTTCCCTAATCTCTGAGTGCTCTTTAAATGGTGGGATAGTTGAAAATTGCCTCACTTTGAAACGTTTGTTCTGATTAAAAACTAAACTTTGATCCTTTACAGTAAAAATACCCAATTATCTTTGTTTTTGTTTTGTTTTTGCATGAACAGGTTGTGCTTCAGGATTTAGCTAAAAAGGAAAACGGATTACGTGATATATTAGCTGTTCTTACTATGAAAAGGTACAAAATTAAATGCTTTCAATATTATGAAGACTCTGGAGCTTGGTTCCATTACTATTAGACTAACTTACAATTCTAGTCGAAATGCTGCAGCAACTTTCCTAGTGGATTACATTTCCACTGTGAGATCTAATATTTTAGAAAGAAGTGTATACCAACTAATTAGCATTGTGGGTCTTCTATGGACCCTTCTTACTGCTGTGGAAAAGCTAGTCTAGGAAATTTGTTACTAATTAATTTCAGCTGTTGCCATTTCTTTACTGCCCGGCAGTCTTACCACTGTTTATTCAAGTAAATCTTTCCCTTTTCATTTTAGGAACAATATAGTCTGTAAAAAGTAGTTAGAAAGAATACTGAACTCATTAGGATGGGCTTACCCTGACCTGTCTTGAGCTTGTATAAAGTTTTAAGCTTTTAACATCTATTTTCAGAAAATATAGCTATGGCTCAGAGGTCTAGAAGGAAATTTAAGAGCCTCCTAGAAACAGCATATGCTAAATTTAAAGACACTGAACTTATGTTTAATCTTTATCTTGATAAACTTTCTTTGAAAATTTCAAAGTCCTCAGTGACTTTTTGTTTGTATAAATTAAGCTTATGAAATGTAATTTATTTTTTGTTTCTTTAGAGATGGATCTTTACAAGTGACATGCACAGACCAAGAGACTGGAAAATGTGAAGCCATCACTGTTGAGGTTGCATCGTAACTGTTTTAGATAAACCAAGAATTTTTTAGAACTATAATATCAACATTATTTGGTTTTGTGTATAAGTGATGTTTATAATAAAATGTTTTTTCAATGAATGGTATAAGCTATGTTTCTATTAAAATACAATTCATTAGTAAATACTGGAGTCTGTTTTCTTTTTCATATAAGATTAACTATTATTAATGGAAAATAGGGACTTGTACATGAAGCTGTCGGATCCCCTGGAATAGTTGTAGACAGTTGTGAGCTGCCGTGTAGGTGCTGGGAATTGAACCCAGGTAAGCTGCCATATAGATGCTGGGAATTGAACCCAGGTAATTTGGAAGCGCAGCCAGGGCTCCTAATCACTGATCCATCTCTCCAGCCCCCTTAGTTAGGGTTTCTATTGCTGTGATGAAACACCATGACCAAAAAAACTTAGCGAGGAAAGGGTTCATTTGGCTTACACTTCCACATCACTGAAGGAAGTCAGGATAGCTACTCAAACAGGACAGGAACCTGGAGGCAGTAACTGATGCTGAGGCCATGGAGGGATGCTGCTCACTGGCTTCCTTCCTCCTCATGGTTTGCTGAGCTACTTTTTTATAGAACCCAGGATCACCACCTCAAGGATGGCACCACTCAAAATGGGCTCAGCCCTCCCCCCATCAATCACTAAGAAAATGCCCTACAGGCTAGTCTACAGCCTGATCTTATGGAGGCACTTTCTTCTCTTTCTGTCTTTTTTTTTCCTTGCTTGTTTGTTTTGTCTTGTTTTTTGTAGCCTTAGTTGTCTTGGAATTCAATCTGTAAATCAGGCTGGAATGCTGGGATTAAAGATGTGTGCCGCTGCCACCGCCTGGCATGAAGGCATCTTCTTAATTGAGTTTTCCTCTTCTCACATGGCTTTAGCTGATGTCAAGTTGACATAAAACTGCCCAGCACAGTATCTGAGTTCATTTGCATTAATTCGTGTCTAATGAACCTTACTACAGCTCTGAGTAGCAATGCTGTGTATAGAGTAATGTGGTGTCTATTATTTCTATTTTTCAGTTGTGAAACAGATTCTAAAGTTTAAAATCCTGTTGTTTCATAGTCTCAGGTATGGATAGTTGATGAATGAGAACAATATTAAGACTAGTTTTGAACTTAAATTTTGACTGCTTAATATTTTTAAGTGCATTACATGGTTATTTAAGTTAATATTTTTAATCTAATGTGCCTCATACTTTAATTTTCAAGGAACTTTCAAGTGGGAAAAATAAACTCCACAATTCCCTGGAAATCACATTTTCAGAGATAGATACGAGAAATTGAGAAAGATCATAATCCTTCTAACTCAAAGAATGTGGTGTCTGACCCTTTGTAACTTGATTTTCTTTTCTCAAATCAATTGCTAGCCAGTGTTTACCCAGAACCTTGGTTTAGTATCATCTTCTTGTCACTAAACAATATGGCATTCTACTGCAGCCCCAGGTGTTTAGGATTGAACCCAGGAGTTCAGAGATAGCTCAGAGAAACATTGTGAGATTCTGTTCCTTAAAAAAAATGTACATAAAATTGATAGCCCAAAGAGCTTTTGTTTATAATATATATAACTACTTACACAGTTAGGGGAAGATTTTCTTCAAGTTATTCAACAGAGTTTTAAAATGTAAAATGTAATTGAACAAGTTATTTTATAAAAATAACTTGAAACAAAAGATTTAGCAGCAAGTATATTGTATATATTTTTTTCAAGTCTCTTAACATCTGGCTTAACAAGGAGACAGCTACAATTTGATAGAGGTTTTCCTCCATGAGTATGTGATAAAAATTCTATGAATTCTGGAAAACACCACTACACCAATGAGAAAAAACAAAAAGCAAATGACAAGGCATCATTGGTGTCTTTATGATAATGCTTAGTGTGAGTCTGTGACAAGGACATGTCTGAGAATTGTGTTTACTGGCTGGTTATTGTTTAAACATCACAGAACACTTGCAGAGCTGGTTACCATCTCACCAGAAAACAAAGTTGTTACACAGTGTAAGGCTGCAGCTCTGTGCTCATGTATTTCTGGGAGGGTCACAGGCCCACTCTTTCATACTCTGAGAATTGAAGTTAATAGACACTGATGGAAGCTGAAATGGCTGGTTCTACTCTGTCTACTCTATGCCTCCGAATTGATGGGATTCCTGATGAGATAAACAAAGGAAACACTTCATTTATAAAACAGTAACTTATAAAAAAAAAGATTGTTCAGATCAGGCAGTAGTAGCATGGACCTTTACTCCAGGACTCATGAGGCAGAGGCATGCCAATCTCTGTGAGTTCAAGGCTGGCCTGGTCTACAGAGCGAGTTCCAGGACAGCCAGGACTGTTGACATAGCAAAAACCTATTTCAAAAAGCAAGCGAACAAAAAATTTCAAGTGTTGTGATCAAATCCAGAGCCTTGGATATATCTGACAAGCACTTTTCTACCCAGCTATCCTCCTGCCCCCAGCTTCCTTTTCTAAATTAAATCTTAGCAAGACCAAAAATATTCTTTCAATACCCTAAAGGCCTCTCTGAAGAAGTAACATTTGAGTTACAACCTAGCTGATAATAGGAAGATAGCCACACAAAACAGGGAGAATTTGCTCTTTGAGGTAGACAGTGATTTCCAGATAAGTGTTCTTTTAGGTCAGGTAATGTGGGCTCACATGTGACCCCAGCACATGGAAGCAAGAGGATCAGGAAGTCAAGATGGTTCCCACATACAAAGCAAGTTTGAGCCCTGTCCCCAAACATCAACAGTATTTACTTACTTGTCTGCTTATCATTTGTTTTTCCTGTAGGAGAAAGACTCCATGAGGTCACTCTTTCCTTTCTTGTTTAGCAGGTGTCTGGCACATAAGGAGATACATATGAAAATATTTTTGAATATGCCTATTATATTTGAATTGTATGTGTCTATTGTATTTGAATTGTATATGTATTATAGATGACTATGTATATGAAAAATTGAAAAAGCCATTGATCATAGTGGGCAAACGGGAGAATGATCCAAAGTGAGAAAAGAGCTTCTAATCACTGGTGGTCTCATAGGCACAGGAAGGTGTACTATGTGGGGAAGTGCTTAAAGTAATAAAAGAGGCAGGCATGTTTCACTTTACGTTTTAAAACCACTTTAGCTCCATGGGAAGGGGCCAGAGGGGGAGCAATAGTAGAGGTCAAAACAGTTAGGCTTCTTTGGCTGTGAAATGATGGTGTGGGTAAAGGTAATAGTAATGGAAATAGCAAGGAGACAGGCAGTGTGCATTTGCTATTAGCAATGACATGACTTGCTAATGGAATTACAGAAGGGTTTTGTATATAATGGTTTTCCCTTGCAACTTTTGACATTTACAATGGTGTGAAAATTATAGTGACCCAATCCTCACTGAGTGTACATGGCTAAAACCTGAGCACAGCTTAAAGCTGTTAAGAATGCAAAAATAAGTCCTAAGTGTAAACATACCTTGTACTTTTGCTTTAATTAAGCTCAGCTGTTGCTGGGTTGGTTTATTTTGACGATTGTTATAGTCTTCCTTTGGGTCCAGCTGCTACACGGCCATATCAACTCAGCAGAATCTCCTTGTGTGATCCAAACAGACCTGTTCTCTCCAAAGTGAGCGCACCGGCATCCAATTTTGAGAGCCTGCTCTGCGGTGGCAGCGAGTGAAAGGAAAAGTAGTAGGGCTTGGTTGGGTTCCTGTGCTGAGGAACAAAAGTAGGAAGGATGCTATCTGTGCACACTAGCCCACATATATATGTATATATATATATATATATATATAATTTCGCATTTTATAAAGTGCATGTCATGCCTCTGGGACCAGATTCAGAGCACCTAACAGGGAGTGAATCCTGGCACGCAAGCCTTTAGGGTCAAAGTCAGTAATGTACCAGGAGGGGCGGGGCCACAGCCAGCTCTCGCGCACAGGCCCCGCCCCTTCTTGCGCCCGCCGTGCTGCGCATGCGTAATGGCTACTACGGCTGGGGTCAACCTCCGCTGACGTCAGGACGCCTCACTGCTTTCAGCCTCCCAGCTCTAGAGTCCCTCGCGGGCCGGGGCGGGGCGTCTGGCCAGCTGAGCTATTCGGACTGACCGCGCCAGTTTGAATGAAAGCTCCGCAAGATGGCGGCGGCCGGAGCCGAGGCACCGAGAGGTGAGACTGGAGAGCGGTGTCACCGGCCGCCAGGTTCACTACCGTGGCCCGAGCCCAGCCGGACGGCGGCGATGCCGCCGCGCGGACACCCCGAGCGCGGTTCGCTCGCTGCGGGCTACGGGCCGGCTACGCGCCTGCTCCGTGCGAGCGTGGTTCCGAGCCCCGCGGGCCCGGGTCTCCCGTGGCGCGTGTGCAAGCGCCGCCTCTTTGAAGGGTGAGCAGGAAAGCACGCGCGCCGCTGCCGTAGCGGTCGCCGCCTTCGCGCGGTGGGAGCCGGGCTGAGGTGCGGTGCCGGCGGACGAGCCGGCCTGGCATCGTTCGTTGTGAAGTGTTTCCCCGAGAGAGTGGATGTGGGCACACACAGTCCTGAGCTCTGGGAAACTTGGGGCGGGGGACGGCTGGAATTCATGGGGTTATTTATGTGGATGATGAAGCTGGGGGGACACACAGTGCGCGTGCGTGCACCCGAGTCGCGCGCCCTTTGAAAGTCCCGGGTTTGTAAAGCATTCTGGAATGAAAAGGTGCTTCTCCAACTTTCTTTCCTCCGCCCCACTCAGGTGGTGACACTTTATTATCCCCGTCACTCTACTTCCTCGAAGCGTTGCGGGGGTGGGGTAGTGGAAGGATTTTATAAGCGGGGTGTCATAAACTAATCGGACAATGAAAGCTTTTTCTCCATCATTGTAGGCTGTGGAATTTTGTAAACCAAGTGTTTGCAGATTTAAAAAAGAAAATCCCGAAATGCTCAAAATGTATCATTTCTGTTGAGAGATGCGTCGTAATTACACATAATGGGCGTCATTATGACATTTTCATTCGTATACGTAGGTTACCGAATTCAACACCACCCTCCATTATAGGGTTGTGCTTTTGGATTCTCAACTAGGGATAAAAATACTAAAGCAACAAACACCTTAGGTACACAACCAAGAGGACTCTCCTTTGCAGATGATTAGCATAAGGAGATCAGCCTTACACAAAACAGCCTTAAGATTTTTAGATGGAAGCCATTAAGAAGATGGTTTTTATACCTGTCCTACCCCAAACCACCACGCCTAAACAATGTATTTTGGCAAATTTGAGGAAAAGACATTGCCTTTTACGAGTGCCAGAAATATGAATCTTTTCCATTGACTGGAGTGGGGAAATGATGCTTAACATTTTCTTTTAATGAAGTCCTAATGTAGGGAGGATGAGGAAGAGATGTGGGGAAGTTAAAACAGTCAGGTTCTCCCTTCCCTGCAGTCTACCTCAAAAGTGTTTGCCTTGAAGAACTATTAAATATAGCGTGATGAACTAAAGATAAACTTTGGTTTCCTCTTCACCACCTCACTTTTTTTCAGTGAATGTGGTACCCAGAAAGTTTGGGCCCTTCCTAAAGTTGTGTAGCTAGGTGGTCCACCAACATGTAGGGCAGAGGGCTTTTGATCATCTACTATTTATCCCCATATTAGCCATACAGTGAAGTTTTACATTTTCTAGACATCATTTGTGTAGTTATATTTTAAATTTGGATGGAACACAATTCGTTTCTGGCCCATGTAAGGTTATTATTAGTGTGTCTGACTTTTAAATCTTGTTTATGGATAATTTACATTAAGTTTTCTGTTTTGTAACTGTTGACTTGAAACAATGCAGGAAACAGAGCATTATAAAGCTCAATATATCCTCCATTTAAAGTAGACGTTTATTTTATGCATGTTGGTAATACATTTCACCATGGGCAAAATAAGTGAAACTCAGGTTTCTTGAGGTATTCCTGAAATGGGCAAAGTAGGATATGGATTTAACTACAGGACTATATTTCAGATTTAAAATCTTACTGTGTGATTAAAAGAAGCAGAGGTCACTTTTAAATTGTGATTGTTTTAGAATATATTTTAGATACATTTCTAACAATATGTTTTAGCTCTTTATTAAGAGAACCGTTAACATGTTATGTAGAATATAATGGGACAGTAAAAAGTATTACTTTTTACTTTTGATTTATATGTAATTTTAAGAAAGCTTAGACATGAAATATTTTAAGTGGTCAAGCAAGAATTAGCCATTGTCAATTAAACAATAGGATAGAAATTCAATTCATCAGAAATAGATCTTTATTATGTAACTTTTTTCCCAAATACACGTAATTGGCTTCTTGTCATGTACGTTTCTAGACTATAAAATTGTCAGTTGGGAGGTTTTAAGTTTTTGTTTCATCCTAGTAGCTATTTTATTAGTAAAGAATTTTATTTTCTTATTGTAGCCTGGTGTGTGCCTTGCCTAGTTTCACTTGATACTCTTCAGGAATTATGTAGAAAAGAAAAGCTCACATGTAAATCGATTGGAATCACCAAAAGGAATCTAAACAATTATGAGGTGGAGTACTTGTGTGACTACAAGGTAGTAAAGGTAAGGCAATATCTAGCTCCTTGAAAGAGACCTATTCACACTGCAGTATTTCATGTTTCTCTAGCATAAAAATAGCCTTAAAAAATAAGCAAAGATCTTCTTACTGTTTAAGGTTGTAAGTCGTAGATTTTTGTGCATTGTCATCAATTTTGTCAAATAACACTGAGGGGATTTTGAAGTATGAAGTGCTCTTGCGTTAGAATATTTAGGGTGTTTCTATCATCCTGCATCCAACTCTTGATTATTTATTTCCATGTGGATTTCCAGAGCAAATGTTTCATGTCAGATTGACTTTTCCTGTAATTCATGTTGTTCCTGGATCATATTTCCCATAATCACCTGGAAAGATCGTAAGGTTACAAGCCAGCTATAGAATTAGTGACTGTCCTCCAGAAGCACCACCATTTATATTTCCTGCCATCCTGGCAATCTCCATGTATTATAAGTTATGGTATGAAAAAATGGTCTGGCTTTCATGATCATTTCAAACCTTTGTTTCATATCATACAACTTTAGAAGCTGATTTAATTGCCTTGTGCTTCCCTTCATTCATCTTAAAATGAGTTGTTAAAAGCTCTTTAAGCTAAAGCTTGTAATTATATTTTTGTAATTCATTTACTTGTAGCTTCCTCTGAGAACTGGCCATTAATCTCAGTTCTTGCAGATAAACAATCAAGAATCCTGCTTAATGTGATTTTTTTTTTTTTTTCCCCATCTTTGCTGAACCCTTCAGTAAGTCCATTTCTTGTTTTGAATGCCTGTTTTCCTGTGGTAGCATTGTCTTGCAGAGATCTTACCAGTACCTCAGCACCCTAGACTATCAGCCTAGCTGAGAATATCATCTGTTCATATGCATTAGCTCCATTAAAACATACTTTTAAGATGTGTGGTGGTATAGATCTGTAATTTCAGCTAAACAGGAGACTCACAAAAATTTCAAACCCATCCTGGGCAACTTAGACTCTATAATTTATTCCTAAAAAGATTGTTAAAGGGAACTACAGCTCAATGGCAGATTATTTGCCCTGCATGAATAAAGCCCCAACAATCTCTTGGGCAGGGGTAGGTTGGGGAACACTACTTGACAAGATTTTAATCTGTTGCACTTTTTTCTTATTTATGGCTTTCCCAATATTTGTTATATTTTGAACCTTTTTCTTTCCCCTTACTTTCTCACATTCAGCTGAAGACTCCTGCCTTCTGCCTCTATGAATATAAGCTTTTAGCATTCAGTCTACATTCACCACCAATTATTTCTGTGTTTAGTCTTTCATAGGTGTCACCATTTTTTCACTAATTCCCCAGGACTTTGCCTGAACTTGTGGCTTCTTTTTCATTACTTTAGACAGGGCCTGGCTTTCAATTTAGTCCTAGTCTGGCCTTGAACTCACAGCCATCGTGCTCTAGCCTCTACAGTGCTATAGTGCCTACATAAACTGTATTTCCAGTTTTATGTTTTAATATTAAGTCCCCCGTCCCCCGTCGTCCCTGTCCCCCACCTCAATTTACAGAGATCCTCCTGGCTCTGCCTCCCAAGTGCTGGGACTAAAGGTGTGCGTCACCACCACCCGGCTTAAGCTCTCTTTTCACTCATTTGTGTTAGTAAACATACTCACATCATCTCTAACCTTTAGATAGCTTCCTCGGCCTCCATTTCTACTCACACAGGTTACTTCTTTTATTTTCTTTCTTACGTCATTAATAAAAAGTACTTTTATTGAGATATAACTTGCTTATTTAAAGTGTACAGTTCAAATCTTAGTATACTCCCAGTGTCAATTTTAGAACATTTTTTTCATTACTCTAAATTTTTAAATTTTCAATACTGCCTAATTTTCAATGACTAGCCCTAAGCAACTGCTAAATCCATTTTCTGTTTCTTTAGAGTTGTATGGGGGCCTTCCCCTCCCCTTCTTCCTCTCCCCTCAAGCTCTGTGCCCCAGAGGAGGACCTCAGGTGTCCTGCTCTGTCACTGTCTGCTTTGAGACCAGGTCTGTAGCTAAACGTTGAGCTAGGCTGGTAGACAGCAAGCCTCAGAGATTATCTAGTCTCTGCTCCCTAGCCTTGGGATTACAGGTGCATGTTGCTTCATCTGGCTTTTTTTATGACTGCTGGAACTTGAACTCAGGTCCTCATCCTTGTGGAGCGAGTGCTCTTAACACAGTGATCCTTCTCATCCCTGTCCTCTTCATTAAATGTACAGAGAACAGTACGTGTTTCTTAAGAATTGGCTTGACTTTGAATAATGGCTTTTGGTGTATTTTAGAATATTTGGAATTAAACTGAGTGCCTCTCATGTACTGGGTAAGTCCTCTACCACTGACTTATGCTCCCTAACCCTTTAGTTTTCATTTTGAGATGAAATTTCACTAGAATTATCCAGGCTGGCCTTAAGCTCATTCTGAAACCCAGAAAAGTCTAGAACTATATTCGTTGCTTTGTCATCTGAGGAGCATGACTACAAGTTTTTAAGGCTCATCTGTGTGGTAGTGTATATTGTACTTCTTTCCTTTCTGGTGCCAGATAGTTACACTGTGTGAATGCATCACATTTATCATGGGACAGACATTTGAGTTGTTTCCACCTGGGGCTATTAAAATTAATGCTGTTACAGATGTTCATACCCTAGTTTCTGTATGAACATAGTTTTCATTAATCTTGGTGTAGAATTACTAGGTCATGAGATATTTTTGTTTAACTTTTGGCTACTGCCAAGCTTTTTCAGAGCTCTGCACCATTTTACATCCACTTCAGGGGGGGTATTAGAGTTTTCATTTCTGTGTAGCTATCCTCGTGAGAAGTACATCTCTTTGTGGCTTTTATTTATGTGTCTCTAGGAATTGATGATGCCCAACATCTTTTTATCCTGCATTTGTATCTGTTGTAGTGAACTAAATATTCACATCCTTTGCTCATTCTAAAAATATATTACTTTATATCTATTTAGAAAGAGAGAGCTTATGTGTGTGTGGTGCATGCACGTGGGTGTGAACGCTTTTGTGGGCACATGTGGAAGCCACAAAGACTGTCTATCGTACCCTTATTCCTTTAAGACAGAATCTCTCACTAAGCCAGATGAATTCCATTTAGGATAAGTTGACTGGCCATTGAGCTCCCAGAATCTGCCTCTCTGCCCATTCAGTGCTAGAGTTATAGGTCCATGCAGCCATGCCCAGCATTTTCTATGGGTAGTAGGGATTTGAACTAAAGTCCTCACACTTGCATATAAGTGCCCTTACCCATTAAGCCATCTCTCCAGGCCTTACCTCCCTTGCTCAGTTTCTAAAGTTGTATTCTAAATTATTTAGTTATAATTAGTTATATATTATGCATATATATCCCTTGTCAGATATATGATTTGTAAAATTTTTATTTATCTTGTGGTTTTCTCTTTTAACTTTTTAACCCATTTTATTCCAATTTGTGTGTCCCTATCACTGACCGCCTGTTGTCAAGTTTCTCTACTAGTTTGTTACACTTACCATGGTTGGTTCTCTTTCTTTGGAACTCTCTTATCTATGGAAGACTCCCTAATTCTAATTCTGGGTCCTGTCATTATCTAATCTTCAGCAACTTAGCAACTGTATTCTCCAGTTTCTTTATGAAATAAGGGTAGGTATAGTAACCATCTTATAATGTGTAATTAATATTAAATGGATTAATATGGATTACCTACTGTATACTGACATTTAACAATTCAGTGACATCAGTGTTTACTGTTACTGTATTTATTTTTCAATATATATTTATTTTTATGCTCTATGCATGTGCCCAGGTGTATGTATCTATATTATCATACAAGTGCCTATGCGATACAGAGGATGTCAGATCCCTTGGAAGTAGAATTACATGTAGTTGTGAACCATCTGATGTGGGTTCTGGAAACTGAACCTAGATCCTCTGCCAGAGCAGCAAGTGCTCTTGTTTTATGAGCCATCTCTCTAGCCCCTCATTGCTGTTTCTTGTCACCAGTCCCCATCTATTTTTTTTAATGTTCTTCAGAATCTCTTTGCTTTTCATCTGTCTTTCCCCTGATTGTAGATAACTTCTGAGAGGCTGTTCTTCATCCTCTTCTCCTTTGCAGCTGCTTACTAAATAGACTTCCCTAACAGTTTTTGTTAGGGATTTGCTCACTCGTAATAATTAGTGAGACAACTGTACTCAGCGCAGAGTGCTAAGTTTCTGTACAAAGTACTTAGTTACAGTAAAGGTGAGTATTGGTGTAATAGAAGGACCTAATTGTGGAGGCACTTGGCAGTTATCTATGAGAAACATGTTTTAAACTTAGTTTTAAAGAATGAAAAGATAATGGGGTTGGGGTCCTGATATGGAAGACCACCCAACTCCTTCAAGGAATGGAAAATATGAGTAGAACATGGTCCAGAGTTAAGATAAGATGAGGCTAGAGGGAGTGCAGCTCTTTACAGGCAAAAGGATTTTAGGCTTCATATTGAGGGAAGCACAGAACCATGGGGTCTTTTAAAGTACAAGAATGGCATGACAAGAGAACATAGCTCTGCTGTTAATTCTTCAGTGCCAGGAGGGTATAATGGCAATCAAAGCAAAACAAATAAAGAAGGAGCACAGGACTAGATGAAGAATCCTGAGGAGTGAGGCTTATGCCATTAACTGGCAAGAAAGATAATAGGAACTCTGGAAGTGTAACTAATGGGACCTGGAAGAAGAGATGTCAGTAAAAGAGCACTGAGCAATTGATAAAAGAAAAACTAAAGAATATACTGAGGCTGGTAGTCAAAAGTCCGTTCATGTCCTGTGAGTGGTTTCTGTGTTAGCATGAACAGAAGAGCCAAAAGAACCAAGTAAAGAATAAGTGGGAGGTATAAGAACATAGACTTTGGACTCTCCCAGCATCATACCTACTCTTGGAGGGAGAAAAAGGATACAATGGTGTTGATAGTTTTAAAGTTGTATTAAAAATTGAGTCATAGTTGTATGCTTTAAAACAGCTTTAATGTTCTAAAGGGCTATGTGCTAAAATCTACTCTTACGAACTCAGAGATTCCTTAGTATACAAGCGTATGTCCAAGGAAGCTTGGTTTTATGTTGCTTTTGAAAATGGGAGGTGTTTAAATGTTACTTAGAACTAGTAGTGAGGCAGAAACCAAAGAGTTGGACATAGAAGAATAATTAATAAAGTACATCTCTTCTGTTATAGCTACATTGACTTGTAGTTTAATATCCATAAGAGGCTGGAAGTTAGGAACAAAGGCCATATGATACTGAATATGAAGAAGTTAGTGGGATAGAAGGCCTCGAACCTAAAGCAATCTGAAGTTACCAGCTTGGGAAATGGAAAAATGCTATCTGATACCACTCAATGATGTAGATGAACTTAAACAATGTAGACTGTGGTGGGTTTCTTTCAAGTGCTGTATCACTTTTCTGCATCAGTGTTATTGCCATGTTGCTCCTCATACAGGTTAATTGAGGATAATACTCTGGGTGTTTGATATACCTTTCAAGGAAGAACAATACCCCTACTTAAAATGATGGGTGTTGTCCCTTGGAAAATTCCTTAAAGTATATAGGTGCATGTCTAGAAGCACTAATATACTTGCCACCTGGCACAAACAGAATAGTCTGCATCTAACAGATTAGTATTTCTGAAGGAAATATTTTTTTTAGGAATTAGAATAACAGAAATCATTAAACTGCAACCCCCTCCCCCCCCCCCCAGATAGGATTTCTCTGTGTAACAACCCTGGCTGTCCAGGAACACTATAAACCAGGCTGGCCTTGAATTCATAGAGATCTCGGCCTCCTGAGTGCTTAAATTAAAGGCATGTACCACCACCACCACTTTAATTTTTTTTTTAAAGAAACTTTCTTTTTAATGTAGTGTGTGTGTGTGTGTGTGTGTGTGTGTGTGTGTGTGTGTGTGTGTGTGTTGCCTGCATATACATCTGTACCACATATGTGCCTGGTACCCAAAGGAGGTGGTAAGCCACCAATATGGGTGTTGGGAATTGAACCCAGGTCCTTCACAATGACAGTAAGCCAACTCTCCAGCCCTATAATCCAAATTTTAAGAAGTAGAAAAGTAGAACTTTTAGAAAAGACTTTTCCTGTGGTCACATAGTTTTTTTTGTTGTTGTTTAGTTTAGTTCAGGATCTCAGGTCTCAGATTCCATCTATCTGTCTGTCTGTCTGTCATCTGATTTTGTTATATGTCAGTGTTTTGCCCACATGGACATAAGTGTACCATGTGTATGCAGTGCCCACAGAGCTCAGAAGAGGATGTTGTATCTCCTGAAGCTGGAGTTAGGTGAGTTAGGAGCCAGTGTTGTTAACTGCGGAGCCATCTCTACAGCCCCTCGGAATTCCTTTTCTATTAGTTAGTGACACAAAGCCTTCTATCAGTTATGCTGGTTCTCAACTATGTCACTGGAGTTGTGGCATGATATGGAATATTATGGTTATCACAAAAAAATGGCAAAAGCAAGGAACAGAAATGTAGACTATGTTTTTGCTAGGCAGTCATGGGACATCTGAGCCATGCTGATTTTCATCTTTGTATTTTAATAGTATTGGCTATGTTATTTTGGCATTTAAAATTGAATTGCCTTCCATTGAAACTTATTTCGCATATTGCCTATTACTTCTTTATTTCACATGTACATCCTAGGTATGATAGGAGCTAAAAAGCTTTTTGGCTTTAATTTTTAATTACAGGTTATTGAATTTATCAAATTTGCCGTATAAGTCAGTGGTTTTCGTAAAGTAATCTTACTTTTCAAATATTAAAATCTTTTTTAGATTTGAAAAATGCTTATAAAAGACAAACCAGAAATAAAATACTAATATTTCCATTTTTTTCAAAATCAATCTTGTTTTCAAAGTATATTTCCTGTACAGAAATTGATTAGTTGCCAATGTAGTCAATATACAAACCTCAGTCATTTTAAATATAAGAGACTTATCCATGATTAATCATTACAGTTATTTGGGAAGTTAACTTTAATGATGTTTCCTTTCATTAGGGTGGTAATATAATCATGCAACCTATAGCCAGCACTTGTCTCTTATTGTTTTCTGCAATAAAAGGACCAGTGTTGTGTTGCCTTCTTCTGGTACCAGAAGTCCAAATTTAAGTATTATGGGGAATAGATGAATTTAGACAATGCCATTTGGATCTCATATCTACTTTTGTATAAGTAGATCTGGGACCGACAATCTCAAATTATCATTACCTGACTGAAGGAAGAAATTTTTAGGCCATAGTGAGGCCCAATTTGACACACTTTGGTGTATATCTAGGCTTTCTATTTCTTCTCTTTGGAATGACAATACATACATACATTATGTACATATAGTTTGTGACCTGCATATCCTCAAATCATAATTAAACACATTTTAACAGAAAAACCAAACCTATTTTGAACAATTTTCAAAATGAAACTACTGAGTTCTTTTAATTCATAGTCATTACTGATGGATGAATAAGACATAATAAAACATTAAGGTACTGATAGTGAGTATAAAATAAGCTCACATGTGGATATGCAACTATTCTTGAACTGCATTGGTACTTTAGCAATATGCCAAAGACCATAAATCATTTGTCCTAAGTTATGGGTTAAGGATGGAGTTACAATTCAATGTAATGCTTTTCTGGCATGTGTCAGGCCCAGAGTTTGAGTTCTGGTAGTGTGTGTGTGTGTGTGTGTGTGTGTGTGTGTGTGTGTGTGTGTGTGCGCACTCGCGCGCACGCGCATGCATGTATTGAGCAGGGATGGGGGGTGATTAATAGATAGTAAAATAACTGTTATGCCCACTCCTTAATATTATAGGTTACTGAAATTTTCATAGGCAAATTTATTGCAGTAAGTAATGTTTTTCTAATATCAACAAGAAAACACCAGGTCAGCAAAATGGCTTAGTGTGTAGATGCATTTGCTGGACAACCTCAATTTAATCCTTGGGACCCACCTGGTAGAAGTCGCATGTTGTCATATTACGTGCACCCATACAAGTATATACATATACACAAATGCCATGTAAAAAATTAAAAATTAATGATGTTTAATCACCCTGATATTTATTTTTTTATTTTAATGTGCATGTGTGTTTTGCCTGTATGTATGTCTGTGTGAGGATGTCATATCCCTTGCAACTGGAATTACAAGCATTTGTGAACTTCCCTGTGGTTGCTGAAAACTTAACCCAGGTCCTTGGGAAGAACAGCCAGTGCTCTTAACCACTGAGCCATCTCTCCATCTCTCCAGCCCCCCACTTTGATATTTCAGGAGCATTTCTCAGCTTACTTTATCTTAGGGCCTGTGGGTATGTGCTAGCTATTCTAAGACAAAGAAGTGATTACTAAAAGATATCACTTTTGAATTTACTCCTGTACATTAACTGTCTTTTAAATTAAGCCCTTAGCAAGTGTCTGCTGACCTTAAGGAAAGACAGTAAATAGTCACTGTGCATATAGAGATTTCAGAAACCATGGTAGCCAATTAACATAATAATAGGTGATAAAAAGTGGACCTTTGCTATCTTTCATTCCTCATACTTCAGCTACTATAGGTTTCTCTAAATTAGGTCAGCATTTATTAGAATATTAATGTCTGATAGAAATAGGATGTGAACTACAGTGTCACTTTAAATTTCTTGGTAACCACATACAAAGTAGTAATTGGTTTCACTAATATATTTAATTCACCATACAGTCATTTTTTAAAGTTAAAGATAATTTGCTCCTGCCATTCTTGAAATTCAGTGCAGTATTTATACACAAAGTCTATCATTTGAGAGTAGCCACATTTCAGAGGTTTTGGGGAGTTTTCTTGGGTGGGGTGGGTTCAAGACAGCAGGGTTTCTCTGAGTAGCTTCGTAGACCAGGCTGGCCTCGAACTCACAGAGATCTGCCTGCCTCTGCCTCCCAAGTTCTGTGATTAAAGGTATGCATCACTGCTACCCACATTCCAGGTTCTCAGTAGCTACATGTGGCTAACAGTGACTGTTTTATCCAGTTTATCTTTAGAACAGCTAAGGGGGATGTGTGGGCATAACATTTGAGGATCTAAGTTCCCAGGTGTTCAGTGAACATTAACTTTAGAGCCCTTAGAGAATGCTTGCAACTGTGCTGGCCATGTGAACCACTAGCCTAATGTTCACTTTGGAACCACCTGTTTCCATGATCGAGGTTTTTGTTTGATGTAGTACTGTTTAGTAAAACAGTCATAGGGTTTGGTGCCTTTATCTTTCCCTAGATAGGACTCTTTGGCCTGTTGTCAGATGTTACATTCCAATAACTAGTGTCTTTCAGATAGCATACAAAAATTGTATTTGTTTGACTTATACTTTACTATTAGAAACTTGAGGCTCTTCAAACATTTTGAATTATTAAGAGAGATGCCACTATAGAGACTATCATAATCTGATTTGTATTTTCTGTTCTATTTTAAGGGTGTGGAATATTACCTTGTAAAGTGGAAAGGATGGCCAGAGTCTACAAATACTTGGGAGCCCTTGAGGAACCTCAGGTGTCCACAACTGTTGCAGCAGTTCTCCAATGACAAGAGTAGTTACTTATCTCTGGTAAAGAAAGGCAAGGCAATCGCTCCAAAAAACAGTAGCAAACCCTTGCCACCAGCTGTCTCTGAGTACATTGTAAGAAAAGCTAAACAAAGAATAGCTCTGCAGAGATGGCAAGATTACCTCAACAGAAGAAAGAACCACAAAGGGATGATATTTGTTGAAAATACAGTTGACTTGGAGGGTCCGCCTTTAGACTTCTACTACATTAATGAGTACAGGCCAGCTCCAGGAATCATCTTAAACAGTGAAGCTACCTTTGGATGTTCGTGTACAGACTGCTTCTTTGAAAAGTGTTGTCCTATTGAAGCTGGAGTTGTTTTGGCTTATAATAAGAACCAACAAATTAAAGTCAAACCTGGCACTCCCATCTACGAATGCAACTCAAGGTGTCAATGTGGACCTGACTGTCCCAATAGGATTGTACAAAAAGGCACACAGTATTCCCTTTGCATCTTTAGAACTAGCAATGGTTGTGGCTGGGGTGTAAAAACCCTTGTGAAGATTAAAAAAATGAGTTTTGTCATGGAATATGTTGGAGAGGTACATTAAATCCATCCTATGCATATGAGCTTATACTACCTTATTAATGTATATACTTGATATATTTTGATGTCATTTGCAGATATGTAGAAATTCATTTTCAGGTTTAGGAGAAAGGTTCACTGATAGTGTTAAAAATGTAAACCTTTATATGAGCAAATAGATAATAAAATAAGCTAATAGTTGGCATTCAGTCATAACCACTAACAGAAGTATATATATACATATAATTTTTTTTTTAAGACAGGGTTTCTCTGTGTAGCCCTAGGTGTCCTGGAACTCACTCTGTAGGCCAATCTGACCTTGAATTCAGAGATCTGCCTGCCTCTGTCTCTGGAGTGTGGAGTGCTGGGATTAAAGGCATGCACCACACTACCTGGTGTCTCTATTTTTTTAGCATAACTATATTTACACAAAAGTTTAAAGAAGGAAGCCAGACCTACCTACATACATGCTGACATTGAAACTTTGAAGTTACATTTATTCCATTATTTGATCCAATATGATTATATTTCTTTTCCTATTTTGTATCGATATGAAAGACATTACTGTAGAAAAGTTTTATGAGTATTGTCAAATATATACAAAGCATTTATTATATCTAAAAAACACTGCTCTGAACTCTAGGCACTTGGAATTGCAGACCATTCTCTAATTACCAAGTACTAGCATTTTTACTTTGTTAGTTATTATATGCATAACTATTAAAGTAGTCCTCATCATGGATCACAACTAAGCACCTTAGCATATTAACCCCCTAATCTTCAAGTTATCCCCACTACTACAAATAAACTGAGGCACAGAGATTTTTAGCTTACTCCAGCAGCCAGATTTAGTTGATAATATATATCACTTTGACAACTATTGGTATTTTCAGCTGAGCCAATGATCAAGCTGTAATTTTAAGAGCAGACCTGCAGATAGCATGACAGATCCTGAGGTGACAGGCCAGTGCCTGGTGTTCTACTGTTGCATTACATCCCCAGCTCCTGTGATAATTTTGAGTTGAAGCATTTCCTGAATATTTGTTCTTAACAAAGCTTTCCAAATGGTCTGTTGCATATTTAACATAAAGTTTCTGTTAGGCAACCTGTTTCCATTTGTTGTTACTCATAGGTAGGCACAGTATACCTTTAGAACAGTGCTTCTCAACCTGTGGGTCGTGACTCTTTGGGGTCAAACAACCCTTTCACAGGGATGGCATAGCAGGTATTTACATTACAATTCATAGTTGTAGCAGTTAAAGTTATGAAGTAGCAATGAAAATAATTTTATGATTGGGGGTGACCACAGCATGAGGAATTGTATTAGAGGTTGGCAGCATCATAAAGGTTGAAAACTACTATAGTGCATATTGAGAGTGCATACTTTTGTAGTTTTCTGTTCTTCTCTGCTCTGGAGAGCACACGTGGATAGCTTCTTAAAAGCACAGCCTGATTGTAATGAAGGTACCACATTTAACTTATTTTAGTCTTTTATCCCATCACTTTCCTTCATTTTTATACTTTTTTTCCATCTAGCTTTTAGTTTTTATGCATGTTTGTTTTGATGACACTTGAATTTCTTTTTAAATATTTGGGTCACTGTTAATAGCTTAATATTTCTTTGGTTCCACAGTAGCTACATAATATTCTGTGGTTTTGCAAAACACCATGTCACCTGTAGTCCCAGCTATGCTATGCAAGAGGCTGAGGTAGAAAGATCTTTGTGGTCTATTGTTTTTCTTCTTTTTTTTATCTTCTTAGGTAATCACAAGTGAAGAAGCTGAGAGGCGTGGACAGTTATATGACAACCAAGGAATCACATATCTTTTTGATCTGGACTATGAATCTGATGAATTCACAGTGGATGCAGCTCGATATGGAAATGTTTCTCACTTTGTGAATCATAGTGTAAGGAACACTTATTGATAAGACAAATAATTCAACTTAGTACTGTTTGGATGATTTTTCCTTAGTTGAAAGATAAATCATTTTTATACAGACATTCATAATATTTTAATATAACAGCTTCTCCTGTTAAGTCAGGCCATTATTGCTGTAATATGAACATACATATTGAGTTGTTTAACACAATGTTCTATCAGTCTTTATATCTCAGTTCATTTAAACCTTCCAATAACTTTATATGATAACTTCATTGTTAAAGAGGGGAATTTAATAATCAGGGAGTTAGTAAAAGTTTTAAAGAATCTCAACAAAGTTATCTTACAGAAGTTAATACTGAATTTTACAATGTGCAGTAACCCTTTACCCTATCCACATTTAATTCTCCATAGTTTACCTAGTTAGCTGTAGTCCAAAAATACCCAATGGGAATATCTAGAAATAATTCATTCCTAGTTCTAAATTGTCTGCTATTCTGATTAGCAGCTGAAGTCTCCTACTGGAGACATCACCCATCCCTTTGCCCAGTGTGTACACACTGTGATATGCTATCTGCCAGTCACTTAGTAGCTCTCTGGATGGTCAGGTCAGCCATCATATTATAGTCTTCAGGTGACCTTAGTTTACTCAGGAATTGCCCAAAAGCACAAGATTAGTAATGCTAGCAGTTTGGAGTTGCCAATGTGTTTGCTTTAAGCAATAAGGTGAAAGTACAGTAAGATATTTTCATAGAGACAGACCACTAATTTAACACTTTTTGTTGTTAATCTCTTACTGTGTCTGAATTAAAGTTAACTTCTCATAAGTATATATGTATAGGACAAAACCCTAGCAATATAGGATTTGGTACTAGCAGCAGTTTTGGGCATTTACTGAGCATCTTGAATTATACTCTATGAATATGAGAGAACTGTACAGTTTAAGGTAACAGGGTTGGTTTTTTTGTTTGTTTGTTTTGAATGTCAGTAAGTTCACATTTTAAAATGAAATTTAAGGATTTCTAGAGCATTCAAGCATCTAGGACCATTTCCTTAAATTAATTAGTATTCTTTAACTTTTAGTTCATGTTTGAACAAGTTAGATCTCCAGTCTTTTTAAAGATTTTGTGTGTATGTGTGCATGCATGTGAGGGTGTGTGTGTATGCGAACACACGAGTGTGCCTGTAAAGGCCAGAGAGGTCAGGCATCAGACCCCTTGGAGCTGGAGTTACAGGTGTTTGTAAAGGTTCCTAATGGGGGAGCTCAAAACTGAACTCCGGTCCTCTTCAAGAGCAACAAGTATTCTTAATTGCTGAGCCATCTGGCCAGACCCCTAGAACCACAATTCCATAATCTACTTTATAAAACTTGTTTCCAAAAACTAAGTGGCAATAATAATTACTGGGTACCTTCTAAGTACTAGACAATAAGCCCACAGATAATAAAGGAAGTATGTCTTAGATAGTACATCTTAAAGCTAATCTTAGAAGATGTAGCCAAGTCAAAATGTCTGGTGAATTGCTTACCAAGAGTTGTGTGTAATTATCAGTGAAATGTAAGAGACTGTCTAGACTCCCTTTTTGGTTGCCTGGTGTGTTTAAACTTTGTTTTGAATGACAACTTTTTAATGACAAATTTGAGATTTAGCTATCCCTCAGTACCCCAAGGGATTAGTTCCAGGACCCTCTGCAGGTACCAAAATCTTTAATAAGTTCCTTATATTAAATTTGAGACGTATATAATAACCCAAACATCCTCTTTTATATTTTAAATAATCTGTAGATTACTTCTAAAGCCTAATAGAATGTAAATAGTTATATTGTATTATTTATAATCTGAGACAAGATCACGTAGCCTTTACATGTTCAAGACTATGGTGTGATTTTTCTTTTTCTTTATAATACTTTTATAATCTAAAGTTAGTTGACTTTGCATTTGGTTGAGTCCATGAATAGGAGGCCAGCTCTACTACCTAACACATACTTGCTACTTAGGGATGATTAAACACAAATTTAGATTTCTTGATGTGGCTCCTAGATCTTTCTTCTTGCATATTCTATATAGCTTAGTGTGCTTAAGTTCAAACAAAAGTTTAAGCAATGAACCTATGTAATAATGTGAGTTTTATGGTGCTGATTTTAAAATAGTATATATACACACACATATACATGTGCCTTATTGAAATAGTTATAAAGGAAGTATTCATGTTATAGATGGAATTGGATTAAAATTCTCCAGAAAAAAAAAGCCAAGACAAAAGTGACATACAGGATACTTGATTTGTTTTACCTTTTTGTTCTTTTATGTCTGATTGAGATCTTATACATGAAAAGTGTATTTTGAATGTACATGTCATAGGAAGCTTAAAGTGATCACGTGGGATGTTAACTATGCATGAGGTATATAGAAGAGAACCTTTGTACCAGTTTCACTTAAGCAGGTTTTGTTCTTTTTTTTAGTGTGACCCAAATCTTCAGGTCTTTAATGTTTTCATTGATAACCTTGATACTCGGCTTCCCAGGATAGCACTGTTTTCCACAAGAACCATAAAAGCTGGAGAAGAGCTGACTTTTGATTATCAAATGAAAGGTATGGTTTTCCTTGGTATTAGTTTCAGTATGACATTGAAAGCAAGTCTTTGGATCACTGACCAAATTAACATCAGTGATGGGGGGAGGCTACCCCAAATATCATATGTGGAGAAGATGAAACACGTTACTATGTACTAATTTAAAATTTTTAAAACGGAGGTTGTAGGGGTTATCTGTCACCTTAAGGCCCAAAGCCCATCAGACAACTAAAGCTAGCACTTGGTCCAAGCCACTGCAGCCTAGTTTTTCTTAGGACTTCCATTTTGGAAGCTGACTTATCATAACATCTTTTCTCAGTACTATTAGTATTAATAAAAATAAGTTTCTAAACTTTTACTAACATAAATATTGACAAGATTTAAAGAAATATTTCAATTACATGAGACTTCTATTCCTTCTTGAATCTAGCTTTTTAAAGTATTTAATTGTCTGTCTGTTTTTGGAGTTTATTTGTTTGTTTTTTCTTCTTTCTTCAAGACAGGGTTTCTGTGTACCTTTGGAGCCTGTCCTGGAACTCGATTTGTAGACAAGGCTGGCCTCAAACTCACAGAGATCCATCTGCCTCCCGAGTGCTGGGATTAAAGGTGTGCACCACTGCCCAGCTGTATATTATCTGTATTGTGATTGTGAATATTTTCTATGAACAATGTGCTTTACATGCTTTTCCTACATGGCCTCACTGCCTGTGCTCTTAGTGTCTAAGAAGAATGCTTATGCATTGAGCTTTCTCAATAAACTTCATCATGACAGATAGTCACATTAGCCTATAGCACTGTTTTAAGACAACTTACAGTGAATTGTCTTAGGATGCTCATATAAGCACAGAACTCTTTCCTTAGGAGGTAACCAACGCCTTGAGAATGTGAACACCATTACTAGCTCCAGGACAATAAGATTTGTGTGTGAGTGTGCATGTGTGTTTATGCGAATATGGAAGAGAGCATGGGATCCCCTGGAGGTGGAGTTTCAGGCAGTAGTGAGCTGTCTGACATGGGTAGTAGGACCTGAACTCTGATCCTCTAGAGAAACACGGACTACTCTTTACCTATCTTGGAGCCCCTATTCTAAAATATATTTCCCTTTCTGTATTTCCAGGTTCTGGAGAATTATCTTCAGATTCTATTGACCATAGCCCTGCCAAAAAAAGGATCAGAACTGAATGTAAATGTGGGGCTGAGAGTTGCCGAGGTTATCTCAACTGAAGCTTCAGGAAATGGAGCTCATGATTGTGTTTTGTTTTGGTCTAAGAACTGGAAAAGTATTTGGGATGCCTTTCTATCATCAAGATTATATGTGTATGTTAATGTACAATTTGTGTCTCAATATTTGCAAAGTACATTAGTGTTGCTTCTGAAGAGGACTTCAGGTCCACACAAACAGAATATATTTGATAGTTCACGATCCATATTTAATATGTAACCATTTACAAATCACCATACACTTATTTAAGAAATCTTAATAGACAAGTGTCCCCTTTAGTGTTTGAAGAGCAGTGAGGCAATGGTTATTAATATGAAACCTTTTACCATTACTCAAACAGATAATTCAGTTTGGGCAAATGTACAGATTTTATTTTTTTTTACTCTATTGTTCCTGCTTAATACTTACTGATCTTGTATTGGAGACAATTAAGCAGCACTGAATTTTTTTTTTTTTACTATATTTTCTACTTTTACATTAAAACATTGGCATCTTAATGATATATTTTAGGTATAAAAGTAAATGTGAACGCTTCTTTCGGCTTGATCTCACTTTGAAGCAATAGATACCATTACAAAGAGTGTATGTCTGAACCAGAAATTCGTAGAAGAATGTTTTAATCCTGTTGAGGGAAAAATCTCTAATCATCTTCTCTAGAAGTCCATAGTGGCTGGCCATTATGCTTCTTTGAAAGGACATAACAGTGTGACTAAGAGGATGGGTTGGAGTGCCAGGCAGGGTAGATGAGTACGAAGTGAGCTCAGCATCAATGAGGTACACACTGGAGAGCACCTGCCCTAATGACAGTGTCATTCACATCATGTTACTGTCATTGCCAGGCAGCGTAAACGTTTCTTTTCCACCAGATTTAATTATTTTTGCATTTTCTGCATGCCCTTGAAAAGTAACCTATTTGAACAGATAATTGTTTTATACAAATTTTTTTTAGATAGGATAAGAGTAAATTTGGCCAAAGTTATGTCTAATTGAACTTTCATTAACCTACGGAGATTAGATGGGATTTTTGTCTGTGTAGTAAAACCCGATAAAGAAAAAACTTAACCTTTTCATTTCTCTGGGTCTGGGAGTCCTAATCAGAGTATCCAGTGTGAAAAGAAAAAATGCAGCAAATCCTTTCCTTCAGTGCCCTGATTAAGACTTCCCTAAGCTCTCTGCCCAGGCTGTAATAGACTATCAAGCTCAAGTAAAATGAAATGAATTCAGTACTCCCTTTATCTTCCGAACTCTACCTGCTGGGGGCTCAATTTTCCCCCCGGTTGCCTTCCAAATGCGCAACCTTCCTCGTGCCCTGTTAGTTCCTAAGCCTCTGCCCGGCTGATGCTGCAAGTAAAATGAAATGAATTCAGTACTCCCTTTATCTTCCGAACTCTACCTGCTTTGGGAGAAGCTACAATGTTCCTCAGAACGTTGCCTTCACAAGGCTGCTATACATAGGCTACACTGTTTGCATGTTTGAAGCCTCACTGTATGTTTACTACCCAGAACTTTCAGGATGTGTCAACAAAATATATTTTTTTAAATTGTAGTTTTGTTTTTGAGAATTTTTTAAAAGATTTATTTATTTATTATAAATGCAGTGTTCTGCATGTTGTCTGCAGGCCAGAAGAGGGCACCAGATCTCATATAGATGGTGGGGAGCCAACATGTGGTTGCTGGGAATTATACTTGTCTTCTGCAAGAGCAGCCAGTGCTCTTAATCTCAGCGCCATCTCTTTAGCCCCTTTCTTTGAGAATCATAAAAGCAGTTCAGGTCTGGTTTTCTCTTACCCCTAGAGCCAAGCTCAATTTGAAGTATTCTCAGGTTTAAAGATAAGATTAAAAAAAAAAAATCAAGTGTTTTGATTGGATATTTGGTCTTATTTACTATTCAGGATAAAAGAGAGGACAAAGAGGAAAAGATTATGTTTAATAAACATGTGGCTTTGTTTTGTCCTTACTAATAGAAATATAATGGGTCTTTAAGATTTTTTTGGGTGGGGGTAGGTCTTGAGGTAGAGTATCTTATAGCTCAGACTAACCTTGAATTTGCTATATAACTAAGGATTATCTGAACCATTGATCCTCACCTTCCCTTTATAAAGCTGGGATTACACGCATGTGTCACCATGCCCAGCTTGAGATCTTTACCTTTAAAAAGGACACACAGGTATACAAGTTTCATTCTAAGTTCCACACATGTAACATACTTTGTTTCTGTTTACTATTCCATCACCTTCTTGCCCCCCACCATTTCACACTTCTTTATGGCTGTGTAAAGGTGGTCAGTTCATCTCCAGCTTGATACCTTCAAGTCACATGTCCTAAGCGAATAGTGGCTTCAGTAACAAGGACTTGGAAATAGTCCTCACAGGAACTTAAGCAGGAACAGAGGCTGGGACCATGAAAGAACACTGCTCACTGGTCTGCTCCAGACTCATATGCAGCTTTCTTACACAGCCCAGGCCTATCTGCCTAGGGATGGTACTGGGACAGTGGGCTGGACCCTCCTATATCAATTTGTAATTAAGAAAATTCTCCACAGACATCCCACAGGCCAATTTGATGGAGACAGTTCCTCAACTGATCGTCTGTCTTCCCAGGTGACCCCAGGTTTGTCAAGTTGATAGCTGAAGCTAACTAATAATGTGTATGCATTCATTTTGCATATTTGACTTTCCTCAGTATGGCTAGCCACTAGGTTTCTTGATGTATATTGCATTTTGAAACTCTTCAACCTTTGCTAACTTATAACCTTTGAAAAATGAAGTAGCCACTACAATTAATCCTGCCTGTTTTAGTGCTGTTTATAAAGAGGTCCCATCATATAGCATAGTGTTCAAGAACTTGGACTCTAGAAGCCTTGTTGCTTGTGTTCAAGTCCTGGCTTTGCTGCTTACTAGCTATGTGACCTAATCTTTGTGCCTTAAGTCTCATGCCTACCTCAAAGTGTGGCTTCACGGAGTAAAGCTTTATAAAGTGGTTTTATCACAGAATAAACACCATATGTAAATATTTCCTATTGTTATTCTGTATCCAAAAATACGGTGCAAAAGCTGATCAGGTAGATTGATCTAAATCTACTCTATTTTTAGGTCTCTTAACTGGTTCCAGCTAGTGCTCCTGCCAGACTTAGGACCTAAAACATGAACATTAAGTTATAAAATGTTAAGAGATACACTCAGAACAATGCTTACCTTGGATCATGAAATATCTTATTAAAACCAAGTCTTGGGTTGAGATTATGGCTCAGTTCAAAAACAAAACACTTGTTTTAAATATTAGTGAATATATACAAATGTACACAGTTACATATGTATATTCTAAGTCATATCACCCAGTAGGTTGGGTCCAGTAACTCTGATCTAATTGCCATGTAGCACAGTTATAATCTGTAACATTCAGTTTAATTTGCAAATTGTGAGGCTCCATTGAAACTTATTTTAAGTGGTATGTCTACATCTTTTTCCTTTTTCATAAGCACGTAGTAAAGTGCTTATGAAGGTGTGTGTAAAGCTTTATTAAATCCATATACATTAATACAAAAGCATTGTACTTTAAGGCAATTTAACAGTTCACAGCCATTCTGAGTATTTTCCTTTACATTCTAATTGTTATAGTTTCAATTTTATCATTGTATTGGTGAGATTTTAGTTTATTGAAACAAGTTCTTGTTAACTTGCCCAGGCTTGACCTCCAACTCAAGTTCCTCCTGTCTCAACCCCCCCCAGATTAGTTAGAACACAGCTTTACCTAGCTTGGTGGTTTTTAAGATTTTTGTTTTATGTTTATTTTGCCTGCCTGAATGTATATGCACCACATGTGTGCCTGGATCCCTTGGAATGGAGTTACAGGTAGACGTGAGCTACCATTTAGGTGCTGGAAACCAAACCTAGGTCCTCTACAAAAACAGCAAATGCTCTAAACTGCTGAGATATCTCTATCCCTGCCCCCCAAGTCTTTAAGTGATAAAACATCTTTTGAGGTTAATAAGGTCCTGTCCTGTCCCATGCCACCCCCACCCCTCAAAAACTTATCAGTTTACTCTAATAGAGCCATCTTTGTTCTTCTAAACTGCTTGTAATGATTCAGGATACAGTGTATCTTGGTGGAATGGTCTGTATACTTGAAGAGATGTATTCTGCTGTGAAGTAAAATACTCTTGTTTATCAGATCCACTTGCCTGGTGGTGCTCAGTTTTTTTGTTATTGATTTTCTGTGTATATACTGTTTCTCTAAGAGAAACATGTTAAGGTTTTTGTCTTTGTGTATCATCTGGTCTCTTGTGGAGGGCAGTACTGGGGATTGAACCTAGGACTTCATACAGCTAGGTAACAGCTCTACCTTTCCATCTTGGTGAGTTAGATATTTTGCCTAGGGTAGTATCTGCTCTTATTATATAGCCTCTCTGGCTTTCTCTAATATAGTTACATTGTCCTTTTAGTTTTGATTTTATATCCCTTGAATGGCATTTTCTGTAAACAGCACATAGTTTGGGTTGTGTTTTTCCCTGAGTCTGTCTTTATGTCGTTTGCATTTAATGTGATTAGATTTAGTTCTACCATGTCGTGCAACACTAGTTTTGACATTGTTTCTCTTTTAGGTCATTTGAGCATTTAGTACTCCATTCTTTTGATCTGTTATTATACTGATGTGTCACTTTGTGTAGGTTGTTTAGTCATCGCTCTTCCACCTGCAAACCACCTGCAAACCACCACATACATCAACAGCTATGAATGTTGCCCAGAGCACTTATGTATGACATTGTGTTGCAACATCAAAAAATTGGCCATCCTTACTAGAATAAGGGTTTTATTCTTAAATATCTAAGAGTGAGCATTTTCTTTTTTCAACAACTATACTCTCACCTGTTGCCAGTTTTCCATATAAGTACTGTAAACGCTCTGGTTTAGGAAGCTCAGCCTCCGGAGTTGAGGGGATTTCAAAATCGGAGGAGCTCTGTGAATCTGCATGTATGCTAGTTGGTAATGTTTCCTCCTCAGGTGGGGATTTCCTGTCACTCACAGTGTCTGGTTCTCCAGTATGAGGAGCTCCATTTACTTCTTCATCTCTGCTTTTCAAGTCACAGTAAGTCTCTTGTGGATAAAATTCATTCTGTTCCATTTGAGAAGCAGAAATATCCTCTTTGTTCTTTGGCCTATAGGCATCCTTGTCCAAAGATGTACTATCCCCACCACTTTTCTCTTGGGAAGATAACAAAACAGTATCACACTGGCTGTCCCAGCCTTGACTTCCTTGATCTGTTATGTGTGTTGACTGAGATGAATTCTGGGAAGAGATGTGAGTGGATTCCCCATCAGAGTCACTGACAGGCTTTGGTGACTGAGATCCCCCTGTCTCTATGGAGGAAGGTAAGTTTTCCAAACATTCTTCTGTGAAGTCCTCTTTTCTTGTGAAGAATACTTCCCACTGTGGCATGTCTGCAGCAGCATTTTGCTGGGGGAGTGTCACAGGGCCCAGACCCCGCTGTGCTGAAGGCGGGGTTTCCAGCTCTTCTTCACTGTCACTGTTGGATTCTTCACAGTCTATAAAGTTGGCCAAAGAAACATTCCGCATACCATCTGCTTTGCCGCATCCTGGGCTTTGTCTCAGTTCAGGCTGGTCTTGTGGCAGTGCCTTCATTGAAAATACCTCAGGGTGAAGAGTTAGCTGGTACGGAACTTTGTGCCTTAAAGGTATTGGTAGAGGGTCATCAAAGAGGTCATCGTCCTCCTCTGAAACAAACAAAACAGTCATGGTATGTACAAAACAAGGGAAAGTTGGGAGTTGTAGCATTTATCAGTTTTAAATCTTGGAATTGTATTAAACACAGGTGCCAGTCTCAAAGAGAAATGAAAAAAAGAGAATATAAGTCTGTACTTCTCAAATGTGAATGACCACGAGACTCACAGGGTGACCTTTTTTCCTTCTTAAAGGATTTTGTTTTCTGTGTGTGTGTGTGTGTGTGTGTGTGTGTGTGTGTGTGTGTGTGTGTGTGTGTGCCCATGAATGAAGTGCCTGAGAAGGCCAGCAGTGTGATCCCTGGAGCTGGAGTTAAAGGCAGTTTTGTGAGCCAACTAATGTGGATACAGGTTTAATGCTTGTACCCATGGAAAATCCACAAAGCATTTTAAGAACTATGGGATATAAAGGTCTGGTCAACAACCTTGTAGAAAATGATCTGTAAACCCACAAGTCTAGTTCTACACCCTCTGCTCTAGGCCTTTTTGTGCATGAGCTACTGCTCCTCAGCAAATAAGCCTCTCTTTAGAGCAAATGGAGACCATAGCAAAAAAGCACAACTGGACACAATGCAGAAACCAACAGATCATGGAGAGCACAGCCCCAGCAAATGTGTCTACATCTTCGCGCCTGTATCTATGGCTCAGGTAATATTGTGGAAGAGGGAACTGAAAGACTATAAATGAGCCAAAATACCCCAAATACCAAGCAGTCTGCTGTGACACAGTCTCTCCGAGAAATGGCTGTATAAACAAGACAGAACAATGGCAATATCAATCAATATTGATGTGGAAAGGGGGAGGTTTTGCAGGGTTCCACCCTCAGACAAAAGGTGTCTGACTTCTGGGAGAGGGAAATTAGCCTCTCCAGGGAGAAGCCCCTTAGTGCAAAGTTGTTATCACTGAAACCATACATACAACAAAACAGTAAGTTGTATTTCTTTGTTTGTGCACATACGTGTGTGTGTGTGTGTGTGTTGTGTGTAAAATAATAAAAGGCTATAAACTTGAGGGAATATGGGAGGGGCTGGAGAAGGGAAAAGGAGGGAAAGTGATTTTAAAACCCACTTAATAAAACCAGTGACATATTTATAAAATACATTTTAAAATGTCTAGTAGATTTCCACTAAATTGCTTAAATAACAATACCTGTTCAAATACAAGAAAATTATCACTATAATACACACAAGAAATGATAAATGTACAGAGTCTACAAAAGGCAGAACCAAAGATTAAAAACATGGGAAAAGGGAAAGTGATAAATGGAAATGAGTGTTAATTTATAACGGTATCAATCCATATAAAAATTTTTTTGAAGATGTGAACTTGAGGGGGCTGGAGAGGTGGCTCACTGGTTAAGAGCTCAGTCTACTACTGTTCCAGAGGTCCTGGTTCAATTCCCAGCTCCCACATGGCAGCTCAGAACTGTAACTCCAGTTCCAGGGGATCTGACATCCTCATACAGGCACACATGCAGGGAAAACACCAGTACACATTAAACAATGAACTTGGTAGGTGCATAAAAGAAACAGACTTCCTTTTAAGACAGAGAAGACTACCAATTCCAGTGTGCCTCTAAAAAAGGAAATGGAGTCATTAGGTAGGACCCTGATCTTACATGTGTGGTGTCTTCAGAAAACACCAGAGGCCTCCAGCTCTCAAGGGCTCTTTCCACTGTTAACATGCATGAAGGGAGGGCCCTGTAAGCACAAGATGGTGGCCAACTACAAACCATGAAAAAAGCCTCATTGAAAACTACCTCGGCAGTCTTGATTTTGGATTTCCAGCCTCCAGAACTATAAAAACAGTGCCCTATCACTTCCTGTTAGACTGGGAGGGGGGTGTTCTAGATTGTCCAAATTCCAGTGTTCTCTTTGGCAAAGTCACACTGACATCACTTGGAAGTTCCTTTACAGGTTTAGCTGTACTATGTGTAGATTAAGGCTTTCCCTATATAAGTGTTCAATAAATAGCAAGAATCACTTACGGCACTCCACTGAAGGATAAAAATCTGAAGTCTTAACCACCAAGCATAGCTGCTATAAGTTTTTTTTTTAACTTTTTTTTTTTTTTAAGATTATTTATTCTATACACAGTATTCTGCCTGCATGTGTGCCTGAAGGTCAGAAGAGGGCACCAGATTTCATGGATGATTGTGAGCCTCTATATGGTTTCTGGAAATTGAACTCAGGACCTCTGGGAGAACAGCCAGTGCTCTTAACCACTGAGCCATCTCTCCAGCCCTGAAGTTTTCGTTTCTAGTCAGAGCTTATCTGTTCTCAACTATAAAGTGTAATAGCAATATAAGAAGGTAGGAACTAGTGGAGAAGAACTGTTCATATAACATCCCTGCTTGGTCTGATGAGAACCAAATGCAGCCAAGGCTCTTTAGCATCTACTAAGATCCTAGCAAAAAAACGCTCCAGGGTCCCACACAGCCCTCCTTCCAGCCTACACCGGTCACAGGGTGTATTTTGGGTAGACCAGAACTATTCTTACCTGAGTCTAGATGAATTGTTCTAGTTCTCTTCAGTTTTCCAAGCGGCTTGTACCTTGGTTCAGTACTTTGGGAAGATCGGCATAGAGGCTTTAAACTGACATAAATCAGATTATTTGAATTTTCCTTTTGTGAAAGCTGCTGAAGCATAAACATCACTGATAGCACTCAGAACAAAGGTGTAGGGAGATCATGTGAGCAATGTTTAATGAAGCTCCTACAACTTAATACACTGGCCAATGGAAGGGAAGCACTTAAAAGACTACATAGTTGGTACCGATCATGTGCAGAGGGAACTGCCTTAGCAGATTAAAGCCAAGCTTGAATCTTTGCTCTTAGAGTGTAGGAAACAGTGCCAGGAAAGAAAGAGGATTAAGTAACCCATTGACACCCAGCATCCAGAAAGTAGAGGACAGGTTCTTCCTGTCTATTGGCACGCAAGAATCCCACAAATCTGATGTGATTTCAGAGCCACAGGCAGAAAGCTAGAACACAGAAATGAGATCTGAAGGGTCCATCCTCACCGAGGGCTATACTACCTACTGTCCTGGGGGTCTATCTTCACTGAGGATTACCTGCTTTCCTGGGGATCCAACCTCACTGAGGGCTACACTACCTACTTTCTGAGGGGGGGGGCAGTCCATCCTGACTGAGGGCTACACTACCTACTTTCTGAGGGGGGGGCAGTCCATCCTGACTGAGGGCTACACTAGCTGCTTTCTTGGGGGTCCATCCTCACTGAGGGCTACACTACCTGCTTTCCTTCTGTCAGAGTGCCAGACCCTTGAGGATTAGAGCCAGCACAGCAGTTGGACAGCCATGAAGCTCCCAAACCTGACTAGAGCCAGACTTGTTTCCACTTGTCACCTTCATCTCAGGTCTGTGAAATTCCCTGGCTCCAATCCATGTGATGCCTCCATAATCGGCTGTCACTGCCTCTCTCTGGGGCCATTTCATGCTTCCTCTTTAGGTAACTTGCCAAGTGAGGGTCACTCTCCACCCACCCACCTACAATAGATCGCCCAACAGAAATGCAAGATAGGAGAATATACATTTCAACAAGCACTCCAAATGATTCTAAGTATGTTCCCATTTAAATCTACAAGACAATCTTAAATCTCAGCCATCAGGATCAAGTTCTTAACTCTTGCCTTGCTGGCCAGCATGTTGCTTTCTTTGCACTACCATGCTTTCTGGCTTGGAACTCACACATTTACTAAAACAGCGGTGTCCAGACACAAATCACCTCATTACCAAGATAACCAGACTCCCTATTAGTCTCTATGATTACTTTCTGTCAGCTAGTTGCTAACTCAGCCTGACCCAAGGATGTTTTTAATTAATTCATGCAAATGGAAACTTGGGGTTCACAGTATGATTGAGTATCCCACAACATATTCCTAATCTGTTGATTTGCTGGTTAAGATTGGTTTTGAAGTGATCTAGCCAAATGCACATTGTAAGTAATTTGTGAACAGGTTCCACATAGGACAAACTGACATTACCTGCACATTCTGCCCACTAAAAATGACAGGAAGAAATAGAAATAAAGGGGGAAGTTACAACAGAAATGGGTTCTCTATCTGTAAGTTGTCAGGCATAGCTTTCCCATCTCCCAGCCAGAACCAATAGCAACACAAACAGAAGCCCTACAAACAAAAACTACTCACACGTCCATGACCTTGTCCACGGTGAGGCCTATTGGAATGACATTTGGATATGCATTCACCGGACAGATGTAGCTCAAAAAATCTTTTATCTGGAGGTAATATAAAATACATCAACTATGTCTATGATGGAAAATTAAGGTGTTAGTCTATTCACAGGGGAAGAAATGAAGAGGTGACACACAGACACATTGGGGTATTACCCAGCCATAAGGAACAAATTATGTCATTTGCAGGCGAATAGATAAAACTAGAGATCACTGTGTCATGCAAAGTAAGCCAAACTCAGGCAAACCACATTTTGTATCATATGTGGGGCTTCTACAGATACACACTTACATGATATGTGTACAGACATGCGACAGGACAGCAGGAGAGGAACTGTGGGGAGTGAGGGTCAGAAGAAGCAGTCTATAGTCTGTTTTCTTTCATTTGTGGGAACTAGATTTAAAACAATATATAATGAAGATGGATGGGGGACTTTTGGGGAGAGGAAGGGGACCAGTGAGGAGGGAGAGGAAAGAAAAGAGAGGGCAGTGACAGGCAAATATGAATGAAGTAGGAAGATATATTTGTATGAAAATGTCATGATGACATGAACAAAATAATGTTCATTATTTTGTATGCTAACTAAAATATTAATTTGAAAAAATGAGGGTGTCAGAAAAGACAGGTATGGGAAAGAGCAGCAGAGCTTCCTCATGAGCCTGCTTCAGTGCTGGCTGCATGCAGGGGCCACCAGGGGACCTGCCAAGCAAAAGACACATGCAATGCCTTGGCCTCACTCCCTAAACCCTCCCTGAGCTGGGCTACATGGGGTCTGGGAACACATATTTATACTTTGTTCAGGTTGTGCTCCACAGAAAGAGCTTGAGTTCTTGATTAATGGGATCTAAAGACTGTGTCTTTTTATAACACGACATTCACTTCTTTGTTCAAGGCCATTTACCTACATTTGACAAACCTTCTACCATGTGAGTTTGAATATAGCTGAGTATTCACCATACTAGACACAAGAAAACAAGGTCTTGTAAGTACACCTCTTGCCATGTATAATAATCATCACCCAGGCAACTGCATCTTGGAGATTACTGGATTTGTTCTAATGCCTATTCTTGTGGTTACCAACCTGGGAAAATCAAACTCTTCTGTTTATTATGTCTCAGATTGCAGTCACTAAAGTAAGCATGCAGTCAAGCCTGGATGTAAAAACACTTAAGGGATCCAGAGGAAGAGCGAGTCCAGTAGTGACCACTGGTGGCCCAAGGCCTGCAGGTCTCTGCTAGCAGCCAACACAGGACAACCTGCCTCTATGCACATTTCTCTAGAGCCAGAGAAAGGACCCCTTACCATAAAGTCTGAGATGCTAGATGCAGTGTCTGAAAGCTGTTTACACAAAGGCGGATAGGGACAGGGAGCACACACAAGACTGAAATGGGAGGGGCTTCCCAAGCAAGGCTGCTAGCCAATGCAGGTTGTATGTACTCTGATGGGGACATAAAACTGGAAGTGTTCCAGGCCCAAGACCCTTTTTGTATGAGTGACTTGAAAGACTACACATACTAATTCCCTTCCTAACGATTCTAAACAATTATAGTTTAAAACTTTAAAACATTCATAAGTATGTTGATTTGGGGGAGGGCATGTTGAGAATGCTAAATAAATAGGAATTCTGTCACTATTCCTCTTCAGAGTTCTACAACCCAGGCAAACCTCACTTATCAGATCTTGGTAAGCTGTGATCTAAGTAAGTCTAAGGCTCAGACTCTTCATTTACAGTAGAACCAGGATACCACCTGTAAAACACTGCCTCCAGTACCCTCTGGCTAGAACCTGTAACTGGTGAAACATCTACTGCTATTATTCAGAACAAAGTTGGTATCAACAAAGCAAAGACGTGATTTCCCTCTAGGAGACAGATGACTGGGGCACAAAGCAGTCAGCATCTAACTCTAATGACCAAATGAGGACACAGAGCCTTGGGGATTTCCAGGGACTATGAAAATGGCTCCTTTAACCTAAAGAACACCCATTCTTTAGGCACTTTTCATGAACAACTGTTGTATGTCTTAGGAAGGCATGCACACGAAAAACACTACTTGTCCCTGAAGTGCCTGCCTTGCACGTATGAGGATCTGAGTTTGATTCCTAGAACCATGTAAAGATGCTGGCTATAGTGGCACACACTTGTAATCCCAGTGCTGGAGAAGCACATAGGAGCATCCTTGTGAAAAGCCAAACCACCTCACCTAATTGCTGAGCTCCAAGCCAATGAGAGACCTTGTTACAACAGACAGCATGATGGCCTTCCTGAGGATATACCTGAAGCTGTCTTCTGGCCTCCACTAATATGCACATCGACACCCCCCATACATATATAAGCACGTGTATATGTACACCCCACACACATGAAGCCCCATGGTGATCAACCGCAAAGGCCGTGGGCAGTCACCAATAGTTAGGAGCTCATGGGTCCTCTTACCTCACTGTAGGAGGAGTGAAAAGAAAAACAAGCTCGGTATGAACTCTCTCCCGTCCTACGGGGAAGCAGAACACAAAAGGACACTTAGCAAAGCTAAGTGGTGTCACAGGGTTGAGCTCCCACTTAGGCTGTTTGGGTGTGAAGCCATGTGGCTATGAGGAACTGCTTCTTAGGACAGGAGTCAGCTTCTTCAGACATGGCAACCTGCTGTAGATATTCTAAATGGCCCAAATTGAGATGGGTGCTACAGTATCAGGCCACTGTGGAGGCGCCTCCACTGTCCCGTGTGCTGCCCTTCTTTCCAACTCCAGTCTGTGATGCACAGCACAGCCCTCAGAGGCCTTCAGAGTCCAGCCATCTTATCCCTCACTGTGGAAGTCCCTGGATATACTGTCATAGTCTGGAAAAAACATCCCTTCGTTTTAAAAAATTTTTAGATGAAAAAGATAATTCCCACAGTTAGAACATCCTCTCCTTGGGCCCCTGCAGATCTGAGTTTCAACTACATTAAATTCAACATTTCACCCCCGAGTTTCTGAAGACACGGGGCACTGATTCCTTACCTCACTATCACGTTTGTTTTTCTGGTCCTCTCTCCAAACCACATGGTGGACGGCTTGATGCTGATTGTGTGGAGCATGGTTTTACTTTTGGAAGTAATCCCACAGGGTAATTTATTCCATTGAAAATACTCTTCTGCCTGAAAACAAAACAAACAAACCAGAAGAAAGACATTTGTTTTAAATTCTAGTTACATATTTTCAACAAAGCTGTTTGTAGACTGGCGTTCAAAAGCACTTGCAGGTGAGTTTTTGGTCATGAAAGAAATGAACACACAAGGAAGGGAGCAGGTTATTCCAAACTGAGAAATTCTCTACAGAACACCTGGCCTGGTGCTTCAATGTCCTTAGTATGAGGGAAGGGAAAGAAACTGCTGGAGAATAGGTTGGTACCAAGTGAACTCTCAGGCTTAGTGAGTGGCACACCGCTGGAAGATGAGTTCGAGCCCCACCTGGACTATAGCAGCCCAGACCTGTCTACAGTAAAAACTCCCAAAAACGAAAATCAAAAGCAAGCTACTCTTTGGGCTGGGTAAGTTGCCACATGATGACTTGGAAAACAGAAGCAGGAGGATGGAAAGTTTGAACCTAGCCTATGCCACAATAGCCTGAATCAATGTGAGACCTCCCACTTATTACCTACTTTCTTTTAACCATCCAAGAGTCTACTGAATATGTAGCTATGTATGATTAAACAAATGCATGTGCACTAGAATAGGTAGCCTACTTATCACCAGGAATAGTCTGCAATATGCAGCTCTCTTATTGAGAAATAAATAAATATATATATGTGTGTGTGTGTGTGTGTGGTGTACATACATGTGTACATACATACATACATACATCTCCAAGAGGTACCCAAGGAAGCCAGAAGAGGGTATTAGGTCCCTGGAGTTGGATTTATAGGCAGTTGTGAGCTGGGAACCAAACTCAGGTCCTTTGAGAGATAAACAAGAGCTCTTAAGCATGGAGCTGTCTCCAGCTCTTCTGGTGTATAGCCCTCTTACAAAGACTTCTATGAGAACATTACATGTTGTTGATGAGAAAATGGATTTTTATGTACTGTCTATCCTTAAGGGTTTGGGGGAGATGGAGCAATGCTACTATTACAACAGTGTTCTACATACAAACACATGTCACTGAGTGCTCTATGCTGGCACAGTTCAAATTTTAGGGGAAAATTGTGATCAGACACAGTTCTATTTAAAGCTAACTAATTCAGTTGTTTAAATAAATTGTCAAAGACACTAGCTAAGAAGGGGATGGAAATCAGAGGGAATAGGAGGAACACAGGACATTAAGAGTAAATGTAATTAAAAATACATTATATATATGCATATATATACATCTATATGGAAAAAAGACTTATTATCAAAGGAAAAAAATAATGTCAAAGGCAAATTGAAAACAGCAGCCTGGCATTTGGTAACTCAAGTGTCCATTGTAGAATTATAAAGAAAATTTGGCAGTGAGCAGCAAAGATGCTCAGGTACTTCCTTGGGCTTACAACACTATGGTGTTAAACGAGTAGAAGAAAAATATAGTTTACAAACATACACATGTTTTGAGTCTCAGAAACAAACAGCAACACACTGTGAACATATTTGCTTAAATTATAAGCTGGACACAGGATCAAACTGGCCTCCACATTAATATTTCTACCCATAGAATGGTCTACCCATAGACCAGTGCAGCTCTAGGACCTCATCAGAGAAGTGTCTTTGTGCAGTGGATGGTGGTTAACACAAAAACTCACAGCTGACCAAGTGCAGACAGCAAGTGTGTGAGTAGTGCTGAGTCACGTGAGACGTCCACAGAACACTCCTACCCGAAGCTCAGGGGTCATCGTGGAAGATGACAGAAAGATGTAACAGCCAGAGCTTGTGGGGACAGAAGCCAAACAGTGTCTTCCAGACAGGGCAGAACTGCTGTACACAGGCACTCACTGCCACTGCGGCTCTCTGCACAAGATCAAGCTAGTCAACATTTTAACAGAGTGGAAAGTGTCCTGAGCCCAACTCCTGAGAAACCATGGAGAGCCGATGGCTTCTCAAAGAGGGAGAGCCAGTTTTCTTTAAGGGTGTGGCTTCTGGCAGGTCAACTGTGCTCCACGGATGACTCCACACCCAGGAAAATATGGGCAGCACAAACTGAAGTTAGTAAAACAAACAAATAAAAAATAAGAGAGCACACACAGGTGGATGAGTAGGGAGATGGGGGTAGATCTGGGAGGAGTAGAGAGTAAACATGACCAAAATGGTTTGGATGCATTCTTCAAAGAATTTTCAAACAAATTAATAATTTGTTTAAATTACAAGTAGCACAGGCAACTAACATCATTACAAATAAATTTTCATTCTCATGTAGGAGAAGCAATTTTATGTAAAGAAGGTAAGAATCTGTGCCTGTTACAGATGAAGTACATACAGATATGTATCTGGAATACAGATATGTAAACTGCACAACCTCCACCTAACCCCTAAGCTTCGCAAAAAGCTTCAGAGAAAAATTTCTGGACAGGTGCTTCCTCAGTACCTTTGGATGGCGGCAGGCATGGATCTGGGTGTCTCGGTCTGTGGTGAGATGGTGGAGGATATCAGGCATGTTTCTAAACATATCCATCTTGTCCACATGAACCTGTGCATTAACAGCAGATAGAAGCACATTGTTTGAAATGCAGTCCTAAGAATAAATACTTCCAGGGTCATTATTCAGGGGATACTATCCAAGTAGTGGGTGAATCTTCTCTCTTGCAATCTCCTTCTGGACTGCAGGGCTTGGTAATATCCTGTTGGGATGTCACTAGGCAAAGGACTCGTCCCCTAGTTGCATCTGACTGCGTTAATACTGTCCTTCAGGCATCACTTGGTTCATATTGATTATGCGCCTGCTGAACACCAAACTCAATTGCTAGACCCTAGCAATACAGCAGAGAACAAAGCTGACAGAAACTATCAAAAAGCGACTCAGTGGGTAAAGATGCTTGCTAAATAAGCCTGCTGACCTAAATTCAGCACTCGAAACCCACATAGGGGAGGACAGAGAGACAACTCTAAGATTGTCCTCTGACCTCTCCAAGCACTCTGTGGCTTGTATGTTACCCCCAACAAAAGACAGCCCACTCTAATGGCACACTACATGTCACACAGGACAGCAGGTGTGGTTTAAAAAAAAAAAAAAAAAAGTAGGACCTAAATTGTCCTGCCACATAGACCTGCCCAGGGGAAAGAGGAGAGGAGACAAAAGATGCAACAAAACACACTCAACCTGGCTGACTTCCAGAAACTTAAGGCTATTAACAGTTTAAAGTATTAAAGCCAATTATGTCAGCTTTACCCAGACTTGTCTTATGGTCTTTCAAAGTACATGGTATTCGTGCCTAAACTGGCGTTAGGATCATGAAACAAAATTAAAACTGTAGCACTCTCATGTTGGTGTGAGAATAACAAACACACTGAAATAACATCCAATTACTGTGCTAACTTCTACCAAGGCAGGGTACAAAAAGAACTCAAGCACAACTGCTTACTCATGGAGTGGTCTGTGCATCTGATTTACTCATGACCAATCAGAAGGAAAGGTAAGTAACTGGGGAGTTGGAGCAACCAGGAAACTTTGCCTTGCAAGCATAAGGAACTAAGTTTGGTTCCCAGAACCCATGCAAAAATTCTGGCTATGGTAGCCCGAGCTTGTGATCCCACTTGGGAGGTGAGACAGGTGGCTCCCTGGGGCACACTTGTCAGCCAATCTACCTACTGAGTTCCAGGTCAATGAGAGACAGTCTTTAAACAAACAAACAGGACAAACTTTTGGCCTTTAACACACACAACTCAAATTCATAGATGCTTGTAAGCACACCCATGCATCTGCACAGACACACAGAAAACATAAGCCAGGTGTGGTGACACATCTATTGTTGCAGCACACAGAAGGCTGAGGCAGGAGGATCATGAGTTTGAAGCCAGTCTGGTTAGAGTGAGTTTCAGGCTAACCTGGGCCTTGCATCCCCTTCTCTGGAAAAACAGATAAAACAAAATAAGGAAAGGAGTAAGCAATAGTAAATATGACTTTACAGACACTCTAAGGAAAACGGGGAGGGGATAAAGTGAACCATATAAAGAGAATCCACATAGAAACGACCGCAAAGGTATCCTTAGATCATCCCTGAGGCACCTTAGTTGGAAACCTCACAGCTTTCTCTTTGTAGACTCCTGATCTAGAATTATCCCCACAGCTGGCAAAAGGACTTACAGAGACTCTGGAGCAACCATCAAAAGCCCCTCCCTGAAGCCTCCCTGGCCCTGGTTTCTTCCCTCAGGGCTCAGAGCTTCCTCTCTTCACACCCACGATGTTACACTCCAAGTTTATGGGAGGCTAATAACTGCCACCTTTATATCATAGTGACAGAGCGTGAAAAAGAAGTTAGAATATAGGTGATATGAACAAGTCAAGTGTGTGTGTGTGTGTGTGTGTGTATACATGTGTAAATATTATCACTACCTTGATTTTAATTTAAAAGGCCATTTTTTAACATCAAACACACAGGCAGAGTGATCCCAGATAAAAGTAAATCTTAGCCAGGCATTGGTGGCACACGCCTTTAATCCCAGTACTCTGGAGATAGAGGCAGGCGGATCTCTGTGAGTTCAAGGCCAGCATGGTCTACAGAGCTAGTTACAGGACAGGCTCCAAAACTACAAAGAAACCCTGTCTCAAAAAAAAAACAAAAAAAACAGCAAATCTTTCTCAAAATGAACACTTAATGATTTCACATAAAAATATTTGGCTAGAAGGACTTACAGAAGTAGACTTGGGAATAGGAAAGGAGGGACAGACATTTAGAGAGAGTGAAGATTAGAACTGACCATGACTCAAAGCAGGAAATACCATTTCCACAATAACTTGGTCATCATCGCACAGTAATGGAGAAATACAGATAACATACATGTGAATATGTGTGTTTTCAACCACCTAAGTAAACGTTCACTGTCAATACCTTAACTGCAATCAACACGCCCTGATACTACTGCTTCAAATTTACTTTTGATGCTGGTCACGACTGCTATATTTATAACCCACGCTTTGAAAACAAATACTCTTTTTGAGCTGTGGGTGTCCATTTGTGAGGATGCGCACCTAAAAAGATGAGGTGATTTCTCAGAGGCCAAGTCTCCACTGCAGCTGTGTTTCAGCAAGCTGCTCCCACCTCTCCCTGTGTTCAGTTATTTGGGGGAGGGGAAGAGAAGGGGAGGAAGGGAGTACAGGGAAAGGGAGAGGTACCTGGACTCCCAGCTCCTCACTCAGGTTGGTGAACAAATACTCATAGCCATAAGCTGCTTTACAATTCAGCCATACAACGTGGTGTGGACTCCTAGTGATCCAGCTCCGAACCAGCTCCAAAATCCCCTTCAAGCACTCCTCCTAGAGCCAACAAAAATCGATACTTAGAAGAAAGTCACTAACCCTTTTCCTCTTCAACATTCAGAGGTAATCATGCCCAAAGGACAACTGCTGTATTAGTCTGCACCACTCTTCCAACAAGACAGGTGGCTACACCCCAGCTCACCACTCCCGGCAGACCCATCATCACCCCAGGGAGAACTATTATTACTCCAGGTAGACCCACCACCCCAGGGACACCCACCACCCTAGGCAGACCCATCATCATTCCAGACAGACCTATCACCCCAGGCAGACCCATCACCCCAGGCAGACCCATCACCCAGGCAGACCCATCACCCCAGGCAGACCCATCACCCAGGCAGACCCATCACCCCAGGCAGACCCATCACCCAGGCAGACCCATCACCCCAGGCAGACCCATCACCCAGGTAGACCCATCACCCCAGGCAGACCCATCACCCAGGCAGACCCATCACCCCAGGCAGACCCATCACCCAGGCAGACCCATCACCCCAGGCAGACCCATCACCCAGGTAGACCCATCACCCCAGGCAGACCCATCACCCAGGCAGACCCATCATCCCAGGCAGACATACACGACTTGGAATTTGATAAAACCTTGGATCACAGAATGTGGTGTCTAAATATACACTTTGGATGTCTTTTACTCTGAAAAGAAAAAGAAAACAGTGTTAGACATTTCATGGGACATAATTGTGCATAAAACAATGTAGATTCTCAGTTGTTTCTAGGGTCTTCCACTCTACTTCAAATGTTTTGTTCATCAACCAACCTCAATGAAAAACAATTTTCATACAATAAAATACATATTTTTGAGCCAGATGGTGGTGGCGTACACCTGCAATCCCAGCAGGGAGGCAGAGGCAGGTAGGTCTCTGTGAGTTCAAGGCCAGCTTGGTCTACAGAGTGAGTTCCAGGATAGCCAAGGCTATACAGAGAAACCCTGTCTTGAAAAACCAAAATACAAAATGAAAAAACAATTTTTGGACCAGAGATATGACTTGTTGGATAAAGACACTTATCCTGACAGCCTGAGTTCAATCCCAAGGGCCCATGTGGTGAAAAGGAAACTGACTCCCACAAACTGTCCTCTGACCTACACACACACACACACACACACACACACACACACACACAAAATATAATTTAAAATATTGACCTTTACATGCCTTCTATCAGTTCATGTCCCTACCATTCTAATCAGCATACCAAACACTCCATAACCTCACTTTATGGGGAAAAACGTGCTCTACTCTTACAACTTTTATAATTAAATTGATTTCTTTCTTTCTTCTTTCCTTTCTTTTTTTTTTCTTTCTTTTCTTTTCTTTTCTTTTTTTTTTTTTTTTTTTTTTTTTTTTTTGGTAAGGGGAGGTTCAAGACAGGGTTTCTCTTTATTGCATTGGAGTCTGTCCTGGAACTAGCTCTGTAGAACAGGCTGGCCTCTAACTCACAGAGCTCCTCCTGCCTCTGCTGGGATTAAAGGCGTGCACCATCACTGTCTGGCCTCTAGTTGATTTCTAATCAAACAAAAGCTTGGAATTATGGGAAAAGCATACATGCACACATACGTATATACATACGTACATACATACACACATGCACACGTACTCACACACGCACACACACTCATTCAAACTGCAGAGCCAAGCATCACAGAAGGCCCTATACCTGCCCCCAGAGTGCAGGAGCTCCATTCGCGAAGCCTCTCCTTTTGCCAGTCTGAAGTCTCCTGTGTATAAGACGGTTCCATTACTGCCCTCAAATAAAAACCTGAAAAATAAACGTATCTCAGTGACTTTCAGATCACAAGAAAGCTGAAATCATAGCAAAGGCCTCCTCCAAACACACCCCTTATGATGTAGTGTTGATAAAGCAACAGCATGGGAACATTACTGAATCTGTACTAGGCATGGCCTGGAATATTCTAGCACTTTCCAAAAGCCACTCAAATCATTGCATTCTGGGGGGAGAAAAATACACGTGATAAGATAGTGCAAAATCATGGGAGAAATAACAATTAAATGCACATGCAATAAGAAATCCACATTTCATGTGGGCTTCATCTTAGTTTCCCAAGCTCAAGTTTGAAGTAAAGATTAAAGACACTGCCAGAAATAGAAAATCTATCTCTGAACACATACTACCTTTTAGAGCCTAAAAAGTTATCTCCATAAATATAATACATATTTATATAGAAAGAAATGGAAACAGATGGGTTCCCTTACATAACTGATCCTGGGCAGTGGCCAGCTGGTAAGAGAGTCACAATAACCTCTTCCTTCTAAAAAGAAAATAAAGAAAACAATAGTAACAGAAATCATCATGAGGGGCTGACTAAATTCACTAAGTACCATTCAAGAGCGTGTCCCCTTTCAGTCTCTCACTCTTCAAACCCTGCAAGAAGTGGACTTGTCCACTCCCTTAAACAGAGCTATGGCAGGACCCAGTTCCTGTTCTAGGTACATACTCAAAGATGATGTCCACATGAAAAAGTGTCCATGGACACCCATTGCATAATTACTCACAGGAACGCCAAAGTGGAAACACTTCAAAATGCTTAGCAACTACATGAATGGATAAACAGCATGTGGTTTGCACACACCATGGAATACTACTTGCTGTAAAGATAAGATTCTATATGTGTATGCCAGCCATATACAGGGATGTCTCTTGAAAAGTGCTCAGAGAAAAAAGTCCCAAACCAAGCGCTGTGACAGAAGGGGATGGTAGTGCTGTAATAGCACAGGGTTTCTAAGTGGTGAAAATATTCTAAAATTGACTGTGGTGGTGTACAGGTAACATTAGAGCTACCAGGTCTTCAGATGGGTGAATTGTGCGTCAACGAATATTGCAATAATGCTATCATTAAAAGATAAAAGAAGTAGATGCGTCCCAGGCCCAGCTGCTCATCACACTGCATGTGGCATTGTCCCTTTAGGACAGAGCCTGCTGGGCACCACTGGCTCTCCGCCTCTCAACAGGAGGATGCAGAGTTCGGCCTGCAATGGTTCATGCTCAGCTGTCACTCCTCACCCACTTCTTCCAGTACTCATCCTGCAGGCTCCTCCAGTGGGGGGGGGGAAGTGTCTTCCTGCTGGGGCTGGACACACAGTGTACAAAAGCCAGTCACAGGACAAAGCATGTAAGCAGTGGCACAGCAACACCCCACTACAGCCTGCCGTGCCGCTGTGCTGGGCTTGGAGGAAGCATCTGCAGGTGACAAGGACACCAACAACATCCCTCCCAAGTCACACTCGCCTGCTCTCCGCCCCTCATTCCCTTACTTTCTCCCTCCCTCCTTGTCTCCCCCTTTTAGTCCCTGCTGCCACCCAAACCTGGCGCTACCAGGAAGAAATTGATGAAGAATACATCTGATCTTCTAAGAAAAGCCATCTGAAAGGTCCCTCTCTCGTGATCACAGTCACACACACAGGTCACCCTCAGAGTTCCACGCTGTGAAGCCACACATGATGATGTTATAACAGACTACAGAGCAAATGATAACTCAGCTGCCAGAAAACAGTAAAACTCTCCTTAGCTCTTGGTGCCATTCGTATGGGCTTTTGTTTGAAGGTAGGCCTACAGTCTTAATGCATCCATAAAATACTGGCTCTAAATTTAAGGTTGAAAAATAAATTTTATCCAATTCAGCAGACCCTTTATTTTGAATTAAGAAAATGATTCAAAATGAAGATAGCCATTATACTTGAATTTGCTTCAAAAATATTAACTAACCACTATTTTATATCCCATATATAAAAAACAACAAATGTGACATGGTGTAGTATTAACAAATAACATTCTTGTCATGAACATGTAATAATAATAATAATTACTATTTTGGCAAAAATTTAAAAAATAAATGCATCATATTTAATCCCTCTAATGTCGGAAGTAATTCTAACAATCTATGACTGAATGTCTCCATTCCCTGAAGCTTGGGGTTTGAAACAGTGACCCCTGGCAATTTAATTAAGAAGCTTTTGACTGGTGATTAGTTCTTGAAGTTAACCCCCCAGAAAACAGATTAATGCCCTTAAAGGGGAACTTTTACTTTTCCTACTGTGTGAGGACATTGGGAAATGATAGTTAAGAATCCACAGAGAGAAAACCCCAGTCTACAATGAGAGAGAGAACCCCAGTCTATACTGAGAGAGAGAACCCCAGTCAATACAGAGAGAGAACCCCAGTCTATACTGAGAGAGAGAACCCCAGTCTAAACCAAGAGAACCCTAGTCTATACTGAGAGAATCCCAGTCTATACTGACAGAACCCTAGTCTGTAGGGATCAAAACACTCACAAATGTTGTGACTATTTTTCTAAAAACTTACTTTATTCATAAATTACTGTTTATGAATAAATGATCATTTTAAAGACAAAGTTAAACAATCATTTTTAACATTAAGAAAAAAATATGAATTATATAATTACCTCACCGGATGCCTCATCCACTAAAGCTATCTGGGTAGGAGTTTCAATTTCAATTGCTATCTAAAAAGAGATTAATTGAAGAAGTTAGATCCACATAGCCATTTATGATTCCAGTAAAATTAACAATAAAAAAACCTGACATAACAAAACAAAAATACTTTGAAGGAACTTGGGTTGTAGCTTAGTGTTACAGCACTTGCTTAGCAGGTACAGGCCATAGGTTTCAGGCTCAGCACACACATAAACACACAACACGCACACACAAAGCATATGTACACACACACACACTTAGTCCACACCTATTCACTTAGCATACTCAGTACACATACATACTCTTACTATACACACACATACACACACACACACAGTAAACACACACACACACACACACAGTAAACACATACACATACTAGTAACCAGGGATAAATGTTAAAATACCACATTTACAGATGAAATGCATCTTGTTCACGATGCACCATGAAACTACCTGGGCTGGGGACTATTTTGAAGAGACTTTTGATAACTTTAATTTTCTTTATTTTTCCTACATGAATATGTATGTGTGTGGTGTGACTCATGGGAATCCACTAAGGACTCTACCACAGAGCTGAAATGCCAGCTCTAGATAGATTTCCTTGTAGTTGAAAATTCATAAAGCCACTGTATCTAGCATGAACACCAGAGTGTTGGGATTGTTTTCAGGTGCACCTAAGCCCTGACTGTTTCCTGAGACTTATGGAGTTCTTTTTATGAAGGAGCTTTATAGCCCTTGCATGACTTTAGTCGAAAGATGGTCCTGGCAAACCCTGAACATCTTGTATTACTAAGTACAGCAAACAGCACAAAACAAGGACTAAAGTTGCAGGAGTGTGATGTAAACACACTTCTGCATGGATGTCCGGGGTTCAGTTCATCGAGGCTGGACCTCCTGGCTACCTCAGAGCCTGGTTATATTCTGGAGTGACCCTCTTTGATTGTCCGATGATGCAGAGCACTAACAATTGGTGCTTAATGTTATAGGGCATGAAGAAAAGAGGAGTCCTGACACCCCAGGACTGGAGGTAAAAAGTACGCTCATGGGTATGTAGAGACTCCAGGATTTTGGCAGGAACATGGGGGATTCCCCATCTCAGGAGCAGCAGTATGTGCAGTTGCTAAAATGTTTGTTTAAATAAGCTGCAGCATTAACTGCACATTTGTAAAAACTACAGATACAAATAGAACAGCTCCAGAGGCAAAGAAAAAGAAAAGGACTCTTCTAAGTAGAAAAAGGGGAATTCTCCTGGTAGGAAAAGAGGGGGTTTTCCCCCCTCTTTCAGTATCAATAGTAAATAAACTGTAAGTAAAATTCCCCATTTTGAACTATATAATTGGGTATGCTGTTGTGGACTATTAATTTAAGATGTGTTACATTTGTTTATGTTGTGGAACTTTTGTCTAATGATGCAAAGATGTGTTGCATTTGTTTAACTCTATGAAGCTGTGTTACTGTGCCCGTCTGAAACACCCGACTGAAGTAATAAAGAGCTGAACAGCCAACAGCAAGGCTGGATGGGCTGGAGAGAAAACATAGGAGGAGAAAATCTGGAAAAAGAGATCAGGGATCAAAAAAAGAAGGAGAGGAGTCCAGGGGCCAGTCACCCAGCTACACACCAGGAAATAAGAAGTAAAGAAAGTTATACAGAAATAGAGAAAGGTAAAGCCCAGAGGCAAAAGAGAGACAGGTTAATTTAAGAAAAGCTGGCTAGAAACAAGCCAAACTAAGGCTGGGCATTCATAAGAAAGAATAAGCCTTTGTGTGTGTAAAGAGTAAAGAGTAAAACAACTACAGTATGCTCTTACCTCTTTATCATTACTGAGGATTTGGCTCTGCTCTTTAGGTTGCTTTCTGGAAACTCTAAGTTAAATTCTATACAAATGTAACCTTGGGGCTGGAGAGATGGATGAGGGCGGGGTTAAGCGCACTGCCTGCTCTCCTGCAACCATAAGGTGGCTCACAACCATCTGCAATGAGATCTGGTGCCCTCTTGTGGCCTGCAGGGATATATGCAGGCAGAACACAGTATACATAATACATAAATATGTTTTAAAAAGTGAAACAGAGCAGTAATGTGGCTGCTAAGGTGGAAGCTCATAGAAATAACGTCTTACAGATAAAGACCGCAAAAATTACTTTTCTACTAAATAAAATGCATGTAAATTTATTTGTTCCACACTGTTAATAATTGTCAGGCCACATTAACATGCTACTTGGGACATACATACATATTTTAAAGATCCTCTTTTTAGGATTTTATAAAAATACTCCATGGTTAGCCGGGCGTTGGTGGCATACACCTTTAATTCCAGCACTTGGGAGGCAGAGGCTGGTGGATTTCTGTGAGTTTGAGGTCAGGCCTGCCTGGTCTACACAGCTAGTTCCAGGACAGGCTCCAAAGCAAAACAGAGAAACCCTGTCTCAAAAAACAAAAACAAAACTCCATGGCTATTGCCTACAGTTACATCTTAAGACTCTATAGAGATTGCTTTTAATGCTTTAGTAGATGGTTCTTAAAGGGACAAAGAGCATGTTTACACACAAATTCCACAGGCTCCACAAAAAGATTATAACCATTCTGGGTTCCACAGTCCAAAAATCTATACTCGCTGTAGTAAATCAGCTTTTTATTAGGTATTTCTCAGCCACTGAATACTTTACCTATCTATTTAAATTTAGATGAGAGCTTATTTGATGGACTAAGAAAAATTATAGTCCTATAGTCATAATCCTATCCAAAACAGGTATCCTTAAGAAAAAATGAGGCTCAACATTAACTGACCTCCTATATAAATTATCATATAGAAGACAGAGATGCACTAAGAATGTAAAGTGGCTTAACTTGGGAGAAAAAGAATATTACAGAAAAACTGTAAATGTAGAAAGGATATAGAAGGAAACATTTGAAATGAGGTACTTGAAAAAAGGAGTCTAGTAAACAAAATTTGAAATGGATGAAACATAAATAGAAAATAGAAATGGGAAAGAGACAAAAATGAAAAAATGGCTTAGTGTTCTATAGTTCAGTTTCTTTGCTTTAAAAAAATAGTAATTAAATAAACCCAACTTTATTAAAACATTACAGTAATACTAAATTGCTGGCACCTCCATCTCTAGAAAATATCAGGAAAAACCTGCCTGGGAGGAAAAGCCAGGCACAGCTGTGGCTGCCACTGGTAAATAGCAACACCTATAAAAATTTCTCAATCTTAATGAACCCTCCACTTATTATTATATCTTCTTTTTAGACTAAGGATGCAACAGCAAATCTCCAAGACATTTTGGATTAAAATGGATTTTTGAATGATGATAAAATCCTAAGGTTATAAAGGTATACTCAGATTAAAAATATTAACTTAATATGTCTTAAACTGTAAAATAGTTAAAAGAGGTTCACAAGAGTCTATCCTGTAATAAAGACATTGTTTTATACAGCTTAAAGACAGGTTTTATACAGTATTTCAAATTTCTGACAGATAATAGTGAATGGGCATCAGCTTGACATCTGGAAACACACCTGTCTGTGTTCTGGACATTCTCTACTGTCATGTAGTGTAAAGATCTGTGCTCATAGTGCACTACAGGAATGCACAATACCTCTCCCTAACTGGTCACTTACAGAGCACAGTCCCATGTATGGCACTGTGCCCTGAAAACTCCAGAAAAACACCTTCTGTCACACCTGATATCTAAGACTTAACATTTGTCAAACAGCTCTTTATAGTACAGTTCCTTTTTAGGACCCATTAGAGTGATAATGGTTCTGCTTATGCTAGCAAATGGTTTGAAAAGTTTAATATCAATCATGTTACCAAAATCCCTTACTATTCACAGGGTCAAGCTATTGTAAAATGGCACCATCAAATACTTAAGTGACAAATTTTTAAGTAAATTAAAAATGGGAGTGGTGGTAAGAGGCTACACCTTTTTATCCGCACATACAATTTAGCTATGCTAAATTTACATTTTAAAAATTTCCATTTTAAAGCACAGTGGTTTTTCTGCTTCCCAAAAGCATTTAGATGCAACCTAAAGTCAATGCTAAATAAAAAGAGCACAGATGAACAAATTATCTAAAGACAGACAATAAATCCATCAAACAAAGATCTTCCAGGGGGAGACCAAGCTGAGACTTTGAGAAAACAAGAACTAACACAAAAATGATACTGTTATATTTAATGACTGTATTATGTATAAGTTTTCATCAATGCAGAATCCAAACTGCAATGCCTTATGACAGTGGAGATAAAAGACATACATGAGAGAGGAGACAGTATGATATTGTTTTGCTACGCTAGAGATTGTTTATAAAGGTTTATATGATTGGGCTCTATTACACCCATTTTGCTCACAGAAAAAATATTAGCAGACACTTGTTTAAGCTGTAATAATTGTACTGGCTTTGAACTGTATTTTGGCTTATCTACATAATACTGTGAAACAGCACAACAGAGAAAGGCTGTATTTACTGTGAGAATGCATAATCTTCAAGATAAATATAATCTTCAACATAATTAAATATGGCTTAAACAAAAGGGGGAAATGTAGTGGAAAATCAGTAAAGTCATTCCATCTGGCATAAACACCTGAGTGTTGAGATTGTTTTTAGGTGCACCTAAGCCCTGAGGGAATCCTTGGTATCTAATCAGTGGTTATTTTCTGAGACTTAAGGAGTTCTTTTTCTGAAGGAGCTTTACAGCCCTCACATGACATTAGTCACAAGAAGATCCTGGCAAACCCTGAAGGTCTTGTATTACTGAGTACATGATAAAGACTAAAGTTGCAGGGGCATGATGTAAATTTGTTTCTCCACGGCTGTCTGAGGTTCCATTCACTGAAGCTGAACCCTCCCTGATTACATTCTGGAGTGAGTCTCTTTCTTTGATCGTCACTAATAATTTACAACAGTGACACTTCCTGTATGTGTATGTGTTCCTGTGTACATGCATGTGTGTATGGGAGCCAGAGGCTGACATCAGGTGTCTTCCTTGATGATCTTCACCTCCTTTGGGATGGTCTCTTACTGAACTGGCAGCTGGCCAGTCTTCAACGCCCCTAGTGCTGGGAATCACAGGCATTTATGTTCTTTCCTTGAGTCTAGGGCCAATATGACTCTAACTCACATATAGTACAAAGCAGGTGACCAGCATTATAACGGCTGCAGGGAGATGCTAATAAGCTTGGCTGCCCTCCCAGACTCCAGATGCCTTTGTGAGTTCTGCTTGTGTCTGTTCTTCCCCAGTTCTTGATTACCCCAGACTAACCTGTAGCAATACAGGCCCAATCCTACAGGCAAGGGGAGAGCAGTCTGGCTGTTGTGACAGATCTGCAAAGGACATGGACACCCTTCAGCTGGCAGGTGGGATAGCAAGACTAAACATGCATGATGAAAGGCTACTCCTAGCACAGGCCATCTGGGAGCCACACCGAAGCAGAATAGAAAGGTATGATGTAGCTTTAGAGACAGCAGATGTTGGCAGATGTTTTATTGAAACACATACCTATTGGGTACAGAACAATAATCTGGCTTGTATGTGTCATGATCAAATTAAAGGACTCCCAATCCTTTCTATGGGAGTCATTATATTCCTTATTATCACAGACAGCTGCAGACTCAGCTTATAGAAAGTTGTTTTTTGTCTTGTTTCCTTTTCTAAAAATTGTTCACATTTAGTTCATTATTGTGGAGTGGAGGGACAAGTGAGCATGCATGCAGAGGTCAAAAGCTAACCTGGAGTCAGTTCCTTCCTTCTACCATATAGGCCCCAGGGATCAAGCTTGGGTCATTAGACTTGCTGGCAAATGCCTTTACCCACTGAGCCATCTCACAGGCTCTTGTCTTGTTTCTGCTGTTTTGGTAGCACTGGGGATCAAACATACTGGGCAAACGTGCACCATCTCTGAGATGTGCACCTGGCCGCTGTGGTAAAGGGGTGGGCTTGGGCTTGCTTTGATCTGGCCATGTTTTTGCAGAGGCATGCCAGATGTGAGGCTGAGTAGACAGACAGAAGAGGTGAGACTTGAAAGCTGTCATCTGTCATACATCAACAAGACATTATCCTTCCTGCAGACTGTTTTGACAGCAACCAGTTACTTAAGGCCTACCCTCCACAATAATTCCTAACTCTAATCCTACTCTCTATGGTCACCATCCTTCCCTGATGGAGTGGTAGACATGACAGATTCCAGCAGGCATTACTGTATGTATGAGTGGATGGCATACATGTTCATGTCCTCTCGACCTGCAGCTTCTTGTAATGACGAATAACACCCTCCTTGGAGCTTTCTGTGCTCTGGGTTTTTCAGCCTTTAGTTCTACTCTATCCCTTGCCCTGTGTGCATCAGCAGAAGCTCTTCGGCTCATTGCTCTTCATTGGCAAGCGATGGAAAACCACTACTCTCGCACTTTGGGCTTCTATTTGATTTATGCTCTTCCTTCCCTTTCATTTTTCCTTTCTTAAAAGAAAATCTACCTTTTTGCTTTATCTCTGTCTAGATTAGTACTGGCCTTCCTTTTCACCTCCACTGAGAAATCTGCTCTTACTTAAGGTAATAAGGTTCCTAAGAGAATTTTCTGCCATGTTTACATTTTATGTGCTGCAGCAATTTTCTTTTGACTACCTTCGGGAGGAGAGATCCATTTCATTTTTCCAGAATTAAAGTTATCCATTCTAGGTCAGGCATGGTGGCACGTGTACTTAATCCCAGTGCTCAGGAGGCAAAGGCAGGTGGATCTCTGAATTTGAAGCTCTGAATCTGGTCTATATAGCAAATTCCACACCAGTCAAGGTTCAAAATTAAGAACCTGTCTCATACTCTCACACACATATACACACAGACATGCAGACTCTCTCTCTCTCTTTTCTCTCTCTCTCTCTCTCTCTCTCTCTCTCTCATACATTCTATTTCTCATTCTTTTTTTGTCATGGAGGTCAAGATGACATTAAACATATGATCTTGGGGCTGAGATATAGGTCAGTTGTTGGGCACTTGCCTGACACACACAGGACCCTAGGTTTAGTCCACAAAACCACAGAAAAAAAGAAACTTATGATCTTCTTGGCCCAGACTTTCAAATGCTGGGATCTCAGGCCTGTGTCACTGTGTATAGCTCCATCCTATCTTTTAATATTCTAGTACTCTGCTTGTTTACCTTTTCTTTCTTTCTTTCTCTTTCTTTAAGGGGTGTGTGTGTGTGTGTGTGTGTGTGTGTGTGTGTGTGTGAATACCACCTGTGTATGAATGCCTGTTGAGGCCAGAAAAGGAAGTCAGACCCCCTAGAGCTGGAGTTGCATGTGGTTGTGAGATGCCTAATATGGGTGTTGGAAGAGCATCAAGTGCTCTTAACCACTGAACCATCTCTCAGCCCCTACTCTTTATTATAAACCTTAAATTATGTTTCTTCTTCCTGAGCTAGCCTATGATTTAAAATTATGAGAATGCATATTTTGTTTATACTTTAGTACACCTCTGCTAGGCAGTCCATGAGAGTAAATACAGCAAAAGACCTAAATCACATTCTTGAGGAATAAGAAACAACCAATTGCTGACTCCTAAACTGCCCATTTACACATCAAAATCGCTATTCTAATTAATGATGAGTCTATAATGTATGAAGAAAGGAATTTGAATAATTCCAATGATTTTTTTAAAAGGTGCTTCTAAAAATATTCCCCATGTACACAACAAAGTAGAGCTATTCCAAAAAACTACACTTTTTTTTTTTTTTAATTAAAATTGACTTACAACTCGTTTTTCCCAAAATCTGTATTTCGGGCTAGTTAACAACAGCTCCTTGGTAACTGGAGAACAGTACAGGAAAACCTTCAAGCTGAAAGCAAAAAACAAAACGGGGGAGGAGGGAGAGGGGTTAATTTCAGTACAATTCACAACAAGCCACTTTGGTGAGTCAGCAATACATATCACAGGATATCACTTTTCTCTAGTAAATTCCAATCAATTAACATGGAAAGTATGGCAGTGGCTCCCAACATACCTGCCATGATTTGGTTATAAAAGACCTCCCCCCAAACCCATGTGCTAAGGCTTGGTCTCCAATGCAATGTTCAGAAAGAGGTGGGGCATTGGGTGTATAAGAGGCCTCTGACATAATCCATGGATTAATCCTGTGTCAGGAGTCATAAACTGATAGCTTTACTGAATGTGGTGCTAACTGGAGGAAGGATGTCCCTGGGGACACATCCTTGACAGGCAAACCCCATCCCTGGTCCTTCCTGTATCTTGCTTTCTGCTTCATGGCTGCAGGAGGCAAATAGCTTTCATCTGCCATGTCCTTTTGTCATGTTTCTGCCTCGTTGGAAGCCTAAGAGCACTGGAACCAGCCAACCACAGACTGCAACCAGGAAGCAAAGTACATCTTCCCCCTTTGAAGCTGTTTTCCTTGGGAAACAGTGACACAAGCTGGCTAACAAAGTGCCAGTATATCATCCATTTCAGTCCTGTCACAGGACAAGAGGAGGGGATGTGCAGGGTTCTCCCGCTCTCTAAAAAGCCCATCACTTTTCTTATGTTGAAATTATGTGCTGGGGGCTGAAAGTGTAGCATAGTTGTAGAGCACTTGCCTAGCAAATGAGCTTGTATATGGTCAGGTACATCAAAGAAGGGCACCACCAAATGTTAAGCTACTTCTAGAGAACAGTAAAGGGGTTCTGGGAACAGAAAATTCTGATTTTTGCTTCATATAAATCGACTTATTTGTGTATGCTCAAGAGCAAAGCCAGGGCCTTGCACAGGCTGATCAAGTGATCTACCACTGAGGTACACTCCAGTATTTACATTTCCTATTCAATTCTAAAAATGCAATACTACAGTTTGGAGATTAGAAATACACTCCATGCTGTATTATATTTCTAAACACTATATACCACATCTATTTGTACATAGCAAGACTGTATCTCAAACATACCTACCCACATCCACACCCATTCCCACACATTCCCACATTAACAGGGGGGTTTTTATGTTCCCCTCATCTTGAACTGGACATATCTCTATAACTGCCTTGACTACAGAATATGATGGAAGTAACTATGAGATACTTTTTGTTTTGTTTTTCCATAGTGTTTCTCTGTGTAACAGCTCTGGCCCTAAACTCACAGAGGTCTGTCTAACTCTGACTCCCAGTGCTGAAATTAAAGGTGCACGCCACCTTGCCGCCACCTTGCCGGGCAATTGCAGGATGCTTAAACCTTGCTTTCCAGACAATATGCCTGCCTTCTGATTGTACCCTGGGATTTTATTTTGTTTTGTTTATTTTGACAGGGTCTTACTATGTCTCCTTGGCTAACTTGGAACTTACTATGTAGACCAGGCTGGCCTCAAACCCACAAAGATTTGCCTGTGCCTCTGCCTCCTGAATGCTTGGACTAAAAGCATGCTTCACCATATCTATCCCAGGATGTACAGATGTTAATCCTGGATTCTCTAACAAAACTAGCTATCCCAGGTTAAAGAAACCTCTCAGAGATAGACAAGCTCAAAAAGCCAGCTATTCTAGGCCTTGTTGATATTATATGCATCCTTCTGAGTCTTCAGATAATTTCAGTTCCACCTGATGCCAGGCAGGCAGAAACCAGCAATCCTCACTGTACACTCTCATCATTCCTGATCCAGAGAAACTGAGGGATTGGTGTCATCTTAAGATACTCAGTTACAAGGTAATTTGTTATCCAACAATAGATAGCTGATACATAGGCTCTGAAATCAGACAGACCTGGTTAAAAACCTGGTCTTGCTACTCACTGGTCCTATGACACTGGGCAGCTAATTTAACTCATCTGGCTCCTTAGTTTTCTCATCTGTAAGTTAGATATAATGGTGCCTATTCAAAAGGCACCAAGAGGGTCTAACAAAACCAGCTCCATGTGGACTACAGCATTTTCAATCTCCATCATGCCTGATCCATCATAGCAGCCAGTGCTCTCAACCACTGAGACATCTTGCCAGCCTAGAGTTCTAGAGAAACCACTCACACACATAAATACACACGCTTACAAAAATGAAAACAAATGAGTTATTACTTCAGTCAGCAACAGAGAAAGATGGAGCTGGAGTGATGGCTCAGCAGTTACAGTTGCTCTTCCAGAAGACCCAGGTTCAATTCCTGGCACTCACATAACTGCTACAAACCTCTGTAACCCCAGTTTCAGGGGATCTGGCACCTTCTTCTGGCTCTCATGGGTACTGTACATATGTGGTATGCATATATACACAGGTAAGACAGGCATATAAATAAAACAAAAATAATGAAACCTTTGAAAAATGTTTAAGACGATTTCTTAGTCTATCCAGTATATGATCCTATTTATTTATTTTTGTTTATTTGTGACAAGTTCTTTCTACATAACCCAGGTTGGCCTTGAACTCACAATCCTCTTGCTTCCTCAATGTTGGGATTATACCACCACGTCAAGCCTTCTAGTTATATAAATTCAGAATAACCAAAGTTATTTGACAAAATGTCAAAATAGGAATTGCTTCTTGGAGAAGGAACAACAGTGATTAGACGGGGGTCTAGGATATTGGTAGTGTTCGATTTCTTATCGGTGTGGAAGCTACATAGTGTTCATATAGGCTCATCAGGGTACCCCCTTAGGGTATATGTACTGTTCTGTTTAGGTGCTATCTCTCCGGTAAGATGTTTACTTATACACAAATAAGTAGTAAAAAATCAATTACCTGCATTCCAGTCTTCTTTTCAAGGAAGGAGCCCTTAATCCATTCATGTGATCTACAAGGAAAAGAATCAGAAATCATAAACATGTTTTGTTTAATTTTTAAAAGAGGATTCCTCAGCCCACGACACCTGGGCTGTCTTTGTGAGCTTCCTGATGACAAAAATTATAAAAAGCTCACTGTTACAAGCAAATTGATGCCATGTGTCTTTGCTTCTTCTGGAGATGAACACTATAAGGAACAGGAACCACTACAAGTTGTCCAACCTGAGCTGAGGAAAACAATTCAAGTACCACAGGGTTGAGGAGACTGAGGCAGTCAAGTGCTAAGAAAAGCACCTAGGATACATGAACTCTGCCCGGTAACCTAAAATAAGCGAGCAATTAAAATAAAAAGGAAAGATGGAGGACACCTGGCCAAATTTACGGAGTGTGTGTGTGTGTGTGTGTGTGTGTGAGAGAGAGAGAGAGAGAGAGAGAGAGAGAGAGAGAGAGAGAGAGAGAGAGAGAGAGAGAGAGAGAGAGAATGAAAGAGAGGCTGGTGGCAGGCAGGCAGACAACTAGATCTTAGTCTCTTGCCTAATGTCTCCTCCAGAGGTGTAGAAGTTCTGAAACATGCGCATGTGTGAGAGAGGGGCATTTCACTCTTGCTTCATGCCCCGGGTTGTAGAAGAAGTCCTCAAAGTCCTGAAACGTGTTTTCTTTAAGCATGGCAAACGCAAACGAGCATCTGGGACGTGTGGGCAAGAGCTAACTAAACCTTACCAAACAGTGCTCCTTCCCACAGATAGCAACCAGCATTTCTAACAGTTCAGCCTTGCCACAGGGCCCAGGGGCAGATTGCAACCGGAGGTGGGGTTACAGAGCTGGTACAGTCCTTGGGATCAATAAAGCCAAAGCGAGGTTAAGAGCCCACTGGGACAAGGGGTGCTTTCCAGTGCCTCGTTGAGTCCACAGCCTGCTCTCCCCTTCACCAGGCCCCGACCTTTCTGTCATCCATTCTCCAGCCCCAGCGCCACTGCAGTAGGTGGCGAGAGGGGCTCACTCACCCTTGTGGCAGTGTGAAAGGAAGTAGGCCCGGGCTTTCAGGTTCTCTCTGTCAAAACGGTCAATAGAGATGGTTGGATACTCCGCCATCTGTCCCTGGAAAGAGCTCATAGCGCCCAGGAAGGACAGACCCTAAGACCACCGCGGAAGCAGAGGAGCACAGCGATCCTGGGGACCACTTCCGGGAACCTGCGCACCGCCTCCCCATAGGCCGGCCGAGCTCAGCTACGGCCAATCAGAGGGGCCTTGCGGTAGGGGGCGGGCCCAAGGCCATCCAGTCCTGTTCCCGCTTCCCATGAGCCGCTGTTTAAATAACTTGAACCAGCCGCGCACAGTGTGTGTGAACCGCTAGCTGGGCACGCACGGTCGCGTGCATGTCTGAAAGCAAGAAAAGAAACTAAAAGTGTTCGTTTCACTAGTGCAGAGATGCCTGTGTCTGTGGAAGAACTGAGGCAGGAAACAAAACATAGCTGTTAAGGGTGGCCCGGGAGCTTCCTTTTTCTTATCACACTGCCTTGCATTTCTTCCTGTTTACCGAAAACCGAGTTCTTTTTACTTTTTTTCTCTTCTTCTAGTTTGTATTTTATAGGGTAACCACGCTCTGACTCTTGGTGAAAGATTCTGTTGGTACTTGTTCCCCCTTCAATTTGTACAAAAGCTAACTATATCTTGAAGGCTACAATTCAGATACAGATTCCGGAAAGGGGGAGGGGGAGTAAAGATCCCGTTGATCTGTTAGCCTCTGGTAATCATTGGAGCTGCATTTTTGGGAAGCCAGAAGGATATATACAGAAAAGGATGGAGAGAATAGAAAAGGAGGGAGAGAATGATGGGGCGTGGGTGGGTGGGTGGGTGGGTGGTGGTGTCTGGAAAAGTTCATAGTAACAGTATTAAGATCCACCAAAGACTTTTGTCTGTGGTGTTTTTTGTTTCCTTCCTAGCATGTTCTCCTTAGACACTGTTGGTCACAAACAACCTGAACCTGCAAATCCTGCTGTGACAAGCCTTATGGAGGAAGAAAAACTCCCTAAAAGAAGCACCGTGAAGAGATAAGATAAGTTTCAGAAGCTAGACCTTATCTCATGCTAATTCTAAGCCATTTCAAATAGCTGTTCCTGCGTTGGAACTAGCATGTCGTGTCTGACAGATTAAAACCTTTTGGAATCTATTAATTTAACAGACCACTAATTTCCACCAACCCAAAAGCTAAGAATGTCATCAGATAGCACCTTGGGCCTATAGAAAAACTTCCCCATTTTTGCTTTATCTGCCTCTCTGATGTGTCCAAAAGTGTATTTTAAATATTCCTTGATGTATGACTTTCTTTGTTCTATAAAACTTCATGAAGCTGTTTCCACATTGGAACATGGAATTTAGGGTAACCCAAATCTGTGCTCCCAGCCCATGGTCATTCAAAATAACTCCAGAATAAACTCTCTCTTGTTCCCTTTAAGATGAGATCTGTGTTTTTGGTGTACACAGTGTTAAAGCAGCTGACTACGAGTTCAGCACATTTGATAAACCATATAAATGAAGAATATGGCAAATAGTATTTCTACAGAGACAGAAGTGATCTGGGATAATGCCAGGAATAAGTTCTGAACAGAGGGATCAGAATGCCATGATCAGAGAACATCAATTTGCCTTCGCAGCCATAATATTCAGTTCTCTTTCCATACAGATTTTCATAAAGAGGAACCAGGGGAAGAAGGAAGGCAGGCAATGGAGGGAAGTGGTCTAGTTGTAGTCATTAATTTATACATTTTACCAAGGTAGTATTGGAAATGCTTTGGTTTTGTATAAGATGGTCCGTCCTAGAATAACGGAGGACTATTTCTGTGGCTGGGTTGTCTATACAGAACAATAGATTCTGTATTGACAGAATCTGCAGAATTGCTCATAAGTTAGAGCTCCTGCAAGACATAGAAAATAAGATTCTTATTCATTTGTTCACTTCTTCTCTCTTTATAATGTATGCAGTAGGAAATGATAGTGAGAATCAAGTTACCAATGTAAGCAATATGTACACTTAGATTCTCACAGCTTAACTTTTTCATTCAGGACCCCTTTTCCTTTTAGGAGTTTTTACACAATCCTGGACACATATAAAACAGGCATGCAAATCAAACACTTGCTGATAATAAATCATAAAGAGATCCTTTGAAAACAATTCTTTGGTATACATATGTTGGAACATGGTCAGAGGAATGACACATGGTGAACAATACCTTGGGGAACTGTGAGAGAGGCACCAGGAAAAAGGCAGAGGGTCTTTTACCTCAGGTGCATTTTGTTCCCTGGATTGTCTTGAGAAGTGATTTCATGCCTCCTGTGACTAACATTTACATTCAGTTTATAAAGCATATTTATTCTCATTGGATGTCAGAATATAGCTATAGAACCCAATCTGGTCAGTGTCTGCTGAATCTGGATATGGCCTTCTGCCTTGCTTCTGTGCTTTCAGAGATACAATGTATAGTACATGTCAGATAATTATGTTTAAATTGGTTTGTTTTGAGAAAGTTCTGGGAAAGGGCTTCCCAGTTAATATTTGATATGTACTTAATGATGTTCATTTGCATGTTTTCTGATCATGTTTTTCTAAACTCAGACATCCATCCTTGGATCATTGCTATCTTTGTTATGTTTGCATATGAAAGTACACAAATTGAAGTAAGTTGTCTGCAGCATTAAACTATGGTCCACCCCATTCTTTCAGGTCCTCAGATCCCAGGGCCAGTGGACAAGCTCTGCAAAGGTCCGGTGAAAACTCATTTATTCTCTCAACAACTAGTCACCTACCCTGTTGTATGTTACAGACCCTGAGCTGAATACTAAGGCATACTTACAAGTAACAAAGTCAAAAAACTTTTGTTCTTGGAATGCATATTCTAGTAAAGATTGTCACTATCACTAGTGTAGTTCCAGATACCACCAGGTTTCTGTGTCTGGTGTTTCACTTCCACAGCAACCCAAGACAAGTTCATTTTTGCCAACATTGTATAGTTGTGTACATTGTTATATGGACTGCACAAGGTCATGTTCTCAGTAAGCAGAGTCCAGATTTGAATTCAAGGCCACTCACTATGTTCTGAAGCACCTACCTCATAGCTACCTTGTCATCCTGTTTCCTCCATAGCATCAGAGCAGCAGCAGTAGCAGTGTGGTAGTGAAATACATTTATTCACTCTAAACATGCTGCATTCACATCTATTGTATGCTAGGACCTATTAGGTCTGGAGAAAAGTGATTCAGGGCTATAGAGGAAGACTATCTGTACAGCAAATCTGTACAGATAGTATGCAAATTTCCTGACTCTTTATTGGCCTTGTAAACCTCTGAGGTTTTTTGTTTTGTTTTGTTTGTTTTTACTGTTAATAAAATGGAAACCTATTGCAAGGTCACAAGCCAAACCCAAAACTGACATAATCTGATTTAGGTTTTAAGTAGGTTGTGCTGACTATTGTGTTGGTAATAGGCTATGGCAGTGGGGAGAGATGTTGGGAATTATTGCAATCATCACAGTCAGCAAGGGGATAGCTTTCTGGACTTGTGGGGGAGCTATTAAAGCCAGCAGGTCTCACAGGTGGGCGAAATAAGAGGAAAGGAGGACTCTGGGCCACAGCTATTCAAAGTAGAAGATGTGGAAGCAGCAGTTTCCTTTGTTTGGAGGAAGAGGTTGGCTTTGGATGCAGAGTACACATTGTATAGATAAATCAAAAATTCAGATATATTTTGGCTAAGGAAATTAATTTGAGAATTATAAATAGGTCATTTTTTATTTTTAGTATTTAGTGACTCCTTTAAATAGGACTTTGCTTAACTGGCTTACAAAATCCCTGCTTTGTTAACCACTGGTTCTGGGTATTCTCAAGGAGCTGGCTCGCCCACTCATGGCTCTTTTCCCTTTCATCCTCGATTTGTCAACAAATCATCATGGCTCTCCACTCAGAAATATTGATCTTGAATCAATTTTCACCGAAACAGGTGATATGTTAACTATTAGTGGAGATACTTTTGGGAAAATAAAACTGTAGATGTTAAGTTAGCTTTCATTTAGTCATTGCCAGACACCATGCTGGGTGGATTCCTTTAGTACACACACATTGACAGTTATCTTTTATCAGGATTCAGAACCTCTGCGATCTCTACTCTCAAACGCTTTCATATGATGTCTCTGAATCTCTGCCTCATCCCAGCAGTGAACAGCACCCAGCCAGGAGGTTCCACTGTACAAAACACAGACCTCCTTGCCCAGCCCTACCCCTTACAAATGCGCGTAAAGACCCAGGAGCGGGGGGCGGGGCCGAAGGGAGTTGGGCGGGGCCTACATGAGCGGGCGGAGCGGCGTCACTGAGTTGCTAGGAGACGCGCGGGCTGCAGCGGCCGCAACAGTTGGCCTCAGGCTGACTCAGCCCACGGATCCTGAGTAGAGAACACGAGCACCGCTGCGCCCTTCTGCGAGGCCGGCTGAGCGAGGGTAACCGCGGATAGCGGGAGCCGGGCCTGAGCGGATGCGCAGCGAGGACCCGGGCCCTGACCACCGTGCCTCTGGCTCCGCCCCTCCCCGGGAGCACAGGCACCGCCCCTTCCGCCGGGCCTCCCTGGTACCTGGGTTTTCTCTCTTTTAGGGCGGGTCTTCATTTGGCCCTTCCTACTTTCTAGGGTCGGCTCCCAGCTAAATTCCCCTACCGGAGTTGGCTATTGTAATGGCTTTGCCATTTAATACCTGGGGGCAAAAGACTGTCCCTAGCCCAGGCAAAAAGAAAATGGTTTCTAGCAAAGAACGCTAGCTATCAGAACCCTCTTAAGGGTGGCTTTATGCTCCACAACCGCAAATTTGCACACCTGGATTGTGGACAGACCTTAACCAAGTGCTTGGGGTTGGGGGAACCGCAGGTCCAGTGAGTTTCAGGGACAGGTTTTTAGCTATGTCTGTCTGATTTCAAAGTCTTTAAAATGAACACCCAGTGTGAGGACTGGGATCAGAAATAAAGTCCCATTTACGTTCATTGTCTTGGCTAAGGATTACATGTAGTTTAAAGGAAGCCTCAGTTATATCCTGCCACCCGCTAGGAGCACAAATGGTGTAACAAGGCCAGGAAAGTTGGGGGCTGTGAGATTAG